GTCGAGCGAGACGCCGGCGGACATGGGGGTCGGTCACCTCACCGTCACCACCGTCTACCGTGCCTTCAAAAACACGGGGCGCAATGTGTTCCTGCAGTATAACAAAAAATTGAACAAACAAGGTGCAAACTTTCATTTTTTTCCTAAGTCTGGTTTGCAGGGCTGAACAGAATACAAAAACGATGCGCCGTGCTGGGATGACGTCCACTACAATGGTACACGATTATAACAAGTGCACAAATCCTGCCACATTATTTTGCTACAGTGATAAGAGCATATACATCTTTGTCCGCGATGCAGCAACAGAGACATTATTTCCAAATTAGAGTTCGAAGTTAGCCTTCGATGCTAGCACTGACCAACTCACTTCACTCACAGGGTGAAAACATGAAACTTCGTATCATTAGGACAGAGATCGAAAAATAACACGCACCGCTTCAACTTGGACACCCCAAAATAATTAACTTTAGTGGATCGCACGCAAAAGCTTCGCGTACGCAATAAAATTGCCGGTCAGAAGTACGGTTCCGCAACCAAAATCAGCATATGAGTCATCAAATTATGAAGAAAAAGCAGGTGTGAGCGTGCCAAAAATATTCGACATTTATTGTTGTCAATATTTGTTTTTCTATCCACGTGCTTATGCCGCAGTGGAAAGCCGTGAAACTCCCAATAAATTATTTTGGGCAGTGTTTCCGACGGTGCTCGCTCGATCGTAAAATGCCACTTTGTTGCTACTTTGGCGAATCAAACAAGGAAGCCACGTTCATCTACAATGCCCTGTCCACAAGAAGGGAAATCGAAATTTTCGCTTCGTTTTCTTTTTTTTTTTTTTAATATTCTTCTCTTCTGCACGATATAGGGTATGAATTATTATCCTTCCCTGTACTCTCGCTGCGACGAACAGTCCGATAAACGAGTCACCCTATAACAAAGATGGGGGTCCCGAAAATCTCCTAAACTCGTGTTTGTTTTCAGAGACACATCCGTGTGTAAGAAAAACCACGGCCATCTCCACGAAGCTTATACGGACATTCTTGATAAATAGCGTTGACTTGAGGTTGAACTTTGCATTTGCTTTGTAAACACAAGCGTGACGTCAAGGGCGCATCCCACGCGACCCGACTGAAGTCTGAACTGGTGTACTATATGTGGACAATGGGGCATTATTTTGACTTCCCGGCCGCGACGACCTTGGCGAGGGAGGACAGATGGGGTTCCCGAAAACTCCTAGAATCGTGGTTTGTTCGCAGGGACACACACATCCGTGTGTAACAAAAAACGCGGCCCTCTCCACGAAGCTTACACGGGCATTGTTGTGTAACTACTGAAGATGCCTCCCGCAAGGGAGGCGAAACGTCTAATGAAATTGCTTTTTCCTGTTCTGTGAAGTCGGTGCTTTTACTTTAATTATGTTACCAGTCGGCCTGTGTGACCAGTGCTCATTTGAAGAATCGCCTTTGTCTTTCCTGAACCCTAACAAAAACACCCTCATAACATTTTTTTTACTGTTCGGCTACGTTGGCATAGCCTATAATCGACATAATTTTTGCGAAAGCCTACTTTTATATTATAATTATGTGTAACCATTTCTAATTGAAGAAGTGACAAGTATAATAATTATATTATGATTTCATATCAAAATTCGACGAACCGGGAGATGCGAAATTCGGTGAAACAGCTTTTCAAAAAAATATCCGGTGCCCGAAACTTGCTCACATTAAAATGTCTAACATGTGTATGTGTTCTAACACAGAAGATGAGTGCAATGTGGAAACTGAATGGCCTCACAGACAATTGTCAACGAGTTGGATTTTTTTATGAATTACCCTTTGTCGAGTCACCCTACTACCGATTGGCCTCTTCAATCAATTGCGCGTCGACAAATATTGCTGTTGGTTTATTTGCCATCTGCCATAAGGGGAGAGTGTGGGGCTCGTCAAGCCGACATCTGCCAGCATTTTCATCACGCCTCCAGTGCCTGTACCGACTGACGCCAACGAGTTGGCCTAGAAATAAATACCCACGGACTATTCTATAGCCGCTAAATATCTCTACGCGAGCATGATTTGTTTTTAAAGGGGCACCCGCCTGTCCGTGCTTCTTTGAACTATACATACGTCACGGTCAAAACGTTCCGCAGCTAACGAGTGAAGGCCGACCAACCTATTTTGTCCAATTGTCCGTGTATGGGATATGAGAATGCCACTGCGTCAAAGACAAGACGTGTGCGAGCGTTGCTAAAAATAGAGACCACTATCGATGTTTTAGTATACATGGTTTCATTCTTAGTCAGAGCGCAAACAGAGGTTAGATGTCACGAAAACACATACACAAAGACAAAAAGCACTTTATCACGGCGCATTGTATGAGTTGTTATATTAGTGGGTGGAATCACCCAAACAAAGATAGTGAACGCCGTGGCGTTTAGGTGTTGAGCTGTTGGTGATGCTTGATCGGCGCAATGTGTCGGTCGAGCTCCAACTGAGGGTGATATGAGGCGGGGCAGCTCTGTGGTTTTACTTGTTGTTTATTCCGTTGTCTTTCTTTTTTGCGCGAAATATTGCGGATCACAACAGATAGGCATCTTCGTCCGATGAAGCTCTGTTTTATTGATTGGAGTTTCATCGAATAGTGGACACTTCATTGAACACCGCTTCATTGAACGCCAACTCATCAAGTAGCTTGATCGAATTACGTTTCTGCTATCAAATTATTGCAGATATAATAACTACGCTCGTCATATTTTGTAAATAACGGTAGCCTTTAGCGAAAATTGTGTTGCATAGTTAGTTTCGGCCGTCAGCAAATAGTGAAAAATATCTATCTACCTCTCTCTCTCTCTCTTTATATATATATATATATATATATATATATATATATATACAAAGGCAAAAATGCGTACTGTCGGAGTTACTAATTCGAAGTTTACTACGACGTTTCGAGCGGGGACCACTCTTCATCACGTAATGAAGAACGGTCCCCGCTCGAAACGTCGGAATAAACTTCGAATTAGTAACTCCGACCGTACGCATTTTTGACTTTATATATATATATATATACATTTTACTAATACACTGTCTGGACATTTACATTTACCAGGTAACCATTTTCAGCTGTGATTTGACACTGTGTTGCGCTTATCCCGCTCTTATTTATTTATTTTTTGTTTCTCCCGTTTCTGGCCTTTTTAGTATAGGCTTCCACCAGCTCGCTTGCGCGTCAACTCTAATTTCAAGTGAAACAAGTTTGTAAATTAGGGTGACACTATATAGGTTTGAAATCCTATACCAATTTTATTGCCATTTGGTGGGCCACGTACGAATTTTGATATATATATTTTCATCCAAATAATCGATTAGTAAATCGAATAGCGATTCGGACGAATTTACTACGACGGGAAGAACGAATTTGCAAATCTCATGGCAATTAGGAAATTTCAGCCATCCTTGATTTCCGATTGGGCGCGCTCAGTAGCGGCTCCCTCCGGACAGAGTAGCCTCGAGTAAGAATTCGCGGAGTCTCTACTGACCGGCCAAAAAAAGTGCGGCGCTTCAACTGCTCCCGCCCAGACGACTTGATGTATTTGTATACACACATGACATCGGCCGCGATTGGCGATTGTGGTTCCGTTAGCCGACGCAAGCGTCAGCGGACGTCTCATATTTCCATACTCTCATTTAGCTACAGAAACATAAACAAACAAAAAAAAAAAATCATCCAGTCCATGTTCACTACGTTCACCACTGACAAGATAGTCTGTAGTTCAAGTTTTCATGCAAAGCCGATCAAAACGAGGCACCAGATCAACGTTTACCTCGCTTTTTTTTTTTTTTTTTTTTACGGCTGCCATCAGGAAAGATCTGGCTTGTCGCGTTCCCTGAACAACACTCCGAATATTGTTTGTGCCCCGTGCACCATCCTGTTGTAGCAATCTTTTTATTGTCCCCATGTGATTTCTTTATGTTCTTACTGGTGTTTGATCATAATTCGGTCATTGAAATAGTTTTTGCTGCCGACTCTACCATTCTTTTGACCCTCTGGCAGCAAAGGAATATTATGGCGGCATTACACACGAAATAAGATAGTAGGGCGTTTTCAGATAAGATCGAACAACGATGTCCGGTGACCATTTTTAATTTTAATGAAAAAAAAATATTTTGCTGGCTTTATGCCATGAACAACAAAACCAATCCTTGTTTTGGCAAAAAAAAATTTGTCTTTCCGCTCAGATGTACTATGCTGTTACGCTCATGAACTCACGCACTGTCCGAAGATGTACTCTTTTTTACTCGTGGGATTGCAACGCTGCGGAATGTAGGCGTGTGATTTCAGAAAGCGCGTCCTACCATTTCTACGCGCGAGTGCTCCTGCTACCTAAGCATTGTATACAGTTACGTCCTCGCGCCCGTGACTTGGGCAGCCCCGTACAGACTTATGCAGTATCGAAAAAGATTAGTTCAAAATTGACGGTCCCACTTTTCCATACCGCTTCAAAACCCGATCTCGCTCAAATGACTTGGCAGCCGGACAATTTTGGCAGGGGGCCTCAAGTTGGGGATTATCCGGTACATTGTCCTCCCAACAATGAACGTGGGCGCGACGCGCCAGAGGGTGAACACGTGAAAGGAGGGGCGTAAGAGTGGAGAAGGAAACTCAAGGTCGCAAGCGACGGGGAAAAAGGGTTTCGAAATTGGCGCGCAGGTTTTACAGCATTTGCTCACACGGACAGCCAACGCCGCCCTGGTGGTTCAACTAATGTTTTGTTCAAGATGGCCGCCGTGGTACCGCAGCCTTAACGTGAATGACGCAGCGGTGCCACAAAACCACACACCGGTGCGATGCTTATCCAGATCGGGCAGGGGTGGGCATCAAACCAAGGATCCCAACTTTTTGAACGAGAGTGACGCAGCAAGTTGGAGCTAGGCTTAGGCTTGGACGGAAGCCGGCACCCGAAACACGCCGCAAGCAGTCGTACGATACGGGGTGGGGGCTCCTACCTTGAGCTTTGTTAACAGCTCTCCGCATTTCTCCAGGTTCGGCGTCTTCTTGCTCCATTCCTGCGTGAGGAGCTGATAGTTGGCCACAACGCCGTCGAGTAGCGTCATTCTTGTTTTCAGCACGATCAAATGAATCGTGCTTCAAAACACAGCCTAATCCAGCCGTCATGCATAAGTTAACTTTATATTAGTTTCGTAACCAAAAGGGTCGTATCATTCGTACAGTGGCTTGTGTACAATTATTTAAAATGTAAATATTGCCTCGTTAAATTAGCTAAAATATAATTTACGTACAGATCCATAAAACATGTAAACGACAGCACATTCTTTTATTATGTTTTGCTTCTGCCACCCTGTTTCGCGGTTATTTTACTGCACATAAAAATATCCAGGACTTTAAACTATAATATTTTTGGAAGTGTCTAGAGTTCCGTCCAGACGGAACGATAGTCGCCACTAAAGTTCCGTCCATGTTGGGTCTCGTATAAAAGAAATGGTGAAAGCTAGTTTCGGAAGTGGTGGTGTAGTGTAGTGGGAAAGGTGTCTGCTTTACACGCAGCGGGCCCGGGTTCCAACCGCAGTGTGGGGTTACTTTTTTTTTTTTTTCTCTCAATTTTTTTGTTGGTATTTACATTTCTTTTTTACAATTATCACTGAAACATATTAACCCATGTTGTCGACGAAACTTTGCTTCCTTTCCGGAAGTGCAAGGGGGCATAGCGGGTTTGGGTTGCTGTCTGGACTCCGCGAAGCGGCGTGTACGGAGGGCTAAGTGGTTTAATAGGTTTGTAATTAGCAGCCGCATACTGTCGCCACTGTCGCCGCGAAGCGGCGTGAACGCAGGCGGGGGGGTGTGTTAACGAGCTCCCCAGTGATACACGCGAAGTCCGAAAAGAGTGACCCAAATGGCACGAGCTCTCCGCGTTCCAGACGGAACTCTAGTGGCGACTATCGTTCCGTCTGGACGGAACGCTAGCCACACCGAATATTTTTCACCCGTACGATCAACAAGATTCTGAAAATATGATTTTAAGACTCTGGTTAGGTTGCGCAAGTCACAACTGTAGTATTTTGATTTGCACGAGATGGCGTGCAAATCAAAATACTACAACAACCCAATTAGATAAAGTTCTCCCAATTTATCCAGGACGAGATAAAGTGAACTAATCGAGAATCTACAAGGAATCGAAGGAATCTACGCCAATCCAGCCAATCCAGCTACAATCCAACATCCAGCCGGGTGGATTGCCGGTCTGGTTGTCTGGTTGGTCAGGTTGGTGTAGTCAGCGAGGTGAAAATTCGAGCAACGTTTTCTCCTTTCAATTGTTTCCCGAGTGTTTGGCGTCTCTTGTCATGGAAGATCATGTTTTGACTGCCCTAGAAGACCTTCGGTACGTCGGCGATTTTATAGTCCATAGTTGTCCCTGTCGTGAAAACGCGTTGATCCTTTTCAGTCTCACGTTGCCGGTGTGTCAGTGTCAATGCAAATCGATTCACGTCGCATCTATTGCTCGAGAGATGACGCTTATTTATCGCAGCTTTCTGTCACAAACCTGGTCATCACTGTGATTACATCTGTTTGAACTTAGCTGTCAAACGGTAGAACGCGACGCCGAAAAGTGACACAGTCTTCTTTTATCGTCCTTGCGCTGAGCTAGCTGTTCCGTGGTAGATCCAGGTCATCGTTAATTTTTTTTTCTTCTTTTTTTTCCTTTTTTTGTTGCAGTTACGATGGACCTTTTGCTAACGAAGACGTGTTTACGAGGGAGATCGAGGACTCAAAGTCGATTAAGTTCACCGAACTCGTCTCATGGCTTTCCGTGGAGCTCAACAAACTCGCCAACATGGAGGACAGAGTCAACCCGATCACAGGTGAGGATACTTATTACTATAGTCCGTTGCAACTCAATAAGGTAGGGCGAGGGAAAGGAAGGACGGGGAGGAGGTAGCAGACGAAACGCTAAAGAGGAGGAGGAGGTTTCCCCTTCTCTCCTCCAGCGTTCTGTATGCTTCCTCCTCCCCGGCCTTCCTTTCCCTCAACCTACCTAATTCTTGAGTTGCAAGGAAGTATGGAAATCAGTGGAATTCGAGGCGAGCCCATTCGGGGCTGGATCAGTGAAAGCTCTGAAAGTTTGTGCGGTGACATAGAAACTCGTGAACACAAAACTACACCTGCTACGTATGCACATAACACAAAAGTACATATGCACAAGTTGTCATTCTTGGCCCTTCCCGACTATCTTTTTGGTTGGATAAATGATCATTTGTTAAATCGTAAACAATGCGTAGTCGTTGGTGGTCAAAATTCTCCATATGCAGATGTAACCTCGGGTGTCCCACAGGGGTCTGTACTTGGGCCACCTCTCTTTTTGATATATATCAATGACATGGCACAAAACCTAACATGCAGTGTACGATTATATGCAGATGATTGTGTAATCTATAGAGAGGTTAATTGTGAGGATGATTCTCTTCTGCTTTAGTCAGACCTTGAAAAAGTGATGACCTGGTGTGACAAATGGCAAATGTTTCTTAATATCAATAAATGCAATTATGTTAGATTCATAAAAAAAAAAAAGCAGCCTTATCTATCGAAATATCAGTTGAACGGTGTTGCCCTTCAGGAGGTAGCTGATGTCAAATATCTAGGGGTTTATCTTAGCAGCGATCTTTCCTGGACTAAGCACGTCGACGCAATAACAGCAAAGGCAAACCGTGTTTTGAATTTTATCAAACGGAAGTTCAAAATGGCCCCAAGAAATATTAGGAGCTGTTATACGTAACTAATGTTAGGCCAATCTTAGAGTATGCTTGTCCAGCGTGGGACCTGTATTACGTAAATTTAATATAGAAACTAGAGCGCGTGCAAAATAGAGCAGCCCGTTTTGTTGCAAATAATTATGAATTTTGCTCAAGCATAACAGATTTAAAGAAACAACTGAAGTGGAAATCTCTGGTTTTGCGGAGAAAATATCTTAGAATGGAACTTTTCAGAAGTATTTACTTAGGACAAACAGGTATTGTGAAGGACAACTACTTACATAATCCTGATTACCTTTCCTCAAGGGTGGACCACCCGCTAAAAATAAAAAATATTAGGTGTAGAACTGAAATGTTTAAGAACTCATATTTCCCAAAATCAATTGGAACTGTCTTCCGCAGCACGTGGTCACTGAGACTTCGGATGCCATGTTTTCCTTCTCATTATTAGACATCCTTTAATTGTGGTGTGCTGTAGTTTTTGTTTTGTACTGTTATGTTTCTGATTTTGTGTAACAGTTTTGTTACAGTTTTATTGCACTTCTTTCAATCAATAGTCTTAGTTTTCCTGAACATGTTTGATACAATGTGACATATAATCGTTTTACTTTCCTGTACCATGTACCCCCTACAATAACGCCCTGTGGCGATGTAGGTATTATGTAAATAAATAAATAAATAAATAAACAAGATGCACCGCTACGAGCTCTCCCAGCCAATGTAGCACTGCGAATGTATCACGTGACTTATGAAGGTTATGTGACACTTGCACGACATTGGATTTGCCTGGATCGCTCGTAGCTTCCTCGGGGGGTCCATCGTGAGGTGAAAAGGATTGTATATCTTAACTTTGTTTTTCCCTGCTGATTTCAGATGTCGAGGACTGGAACACGTTCTTGCTTGAGATGAGTGCATTCCTGAAGGAAACTCGTAAGTTTTCCTCGTCTTTCAAAAATGTGCGAGGATAAAAATAGCTGCCGTCTGTTTCCACTGAACGAGGCTCTTGTCCCGTTTCCACTGTCAGACTGTCCAATCAAAGCCCTGACGGATGGCTCGGTGAATCAGCGACTCATGTCCAAGGAAAACAGGCTGATGTTGCTGGGTAAGCCTGCAGTGACATCCTCGATCCTTAACAGGTTGGGTCGGAAGACAAATGACAGCCGGGGGTTCGCTGGTGCGAAAGCAACAAAGGCCACTCCACTGGGCCGCCGCCTTTCTGTCACGCGACGGAGTGCGCAGAAAATGGGAGAGAAGCTTCGACGAGCTTTGATCCACACGCAGTTTAAAGTCCCGCACTTGTCCTGTCACATTGATTTGCCCTTTCGTGAGTTACCACGACAAGGCCGGGAAGGCAGCGTTTTAGCAGTCGGCGGTAATTGCAATGCATCATTCTAATAAGCCGAGAACGCTCGTGTTTGTCACTTTGGAAGCCGTGCAAAACATGTGCCACATGCATAAACGCCGGCAACGGCACCATCCATGGTCTCCTTGTTAGAACTTTGTTTGCCACGTCATTACGAATGCCTCGCCTTTTGCGACATTTTACGACGTCTTTGACGCAGGCTTCCTGTGTGACGAGCTGCAGGCAGCACGCATGATCAAGGTGCTCAAGCCCGAGAGCAACGCCCTGCAGGTTGAGATGGTGAGCGGCGTCACCCGGGGAACAGAAAAGCCAAACTCGAAGCACATGCAGACTGTAGCACATGCCACTGAGTTTGAGGAATGCTGTTCTAGGATGTCTTCCATTTTTTTGGTTTTTGATCCACCCACACAGTTGGCCGACTCGGAGCACGCTTAGGTAATGCAATTGTCTCGTAGGTATAGGCTAGTTCACAAAATTGCGTTTGTTTGCAACCTGCTGCGTTACGACCGCTTGTAATGGCTTACGACGACACACTAGCGCCATCTGTCGGGAGATCCCTTCTGATCTGCGCCAGACCCAAGGCAGCATTTGCGAGATCTACGCTCAATCTACGGGTCGTTCATAACTTTGTCTTTTCAGCCCACGGTGAAAGTTTGATGCATAAAAAATGAGGAAATATATTTGCAGATTAGAAGCGTTTGCTACCCAGTGGACAGCGGCAGTATGCTATCTTGGGTGTAAGCGGTCGCACGCAGTCAGTCAGACCCAAGTGCAAATGCGTGAACCATCCTGTACGATGCCACTTCTCTACGAGGCATTCATGCACGAGGGGGAAGCTTCACTCGACGGCTGTCATAGGGACCGGGATGCTGGTGGCAGAAACCGGATCAACTTTGTCGTGTGCCGGAACAACGCTTGTGGATGCAGCGTTCTTGTTTAGTGCATTTTGCTGTTGTTAAGGCCGATGCTCCCCGTACCTTGATGAGCATGACCGAGCAGATTTTTTGTCGCCAAGTAATAGTCCTCAAGTTGGGAAGGAAAAGGGACGTCAGCTTCACGCCTGCACATTTTGCAGAAACCACCAGTGTTAACAAGGACCGATTTCTGTTCTTCCATGCTTTGTGAACGTAAAGTGTTAGGCGATAGTTATCCGAAGTAAAAAAGAAAGGTGGTTTCGTGGTTTCTTTATAATGCTCCCTAAAATAGAAATGCTGCATTGACATTGCATGGTTTGAAGCTATAAGGTGAACATCTGTTTATAATTAACCTTTTTCCAGTAGCGTGCGTCGTCCGGGGGGGTTTGTCTGCAAACTACAAACGGAGGGCAGCCTAACGTGCCTTCTCTCTGCAGAACGCATTGGCATTGTACTCTTGTATCAGTTTTTATTGCTTTTTAGATCTACTACTAATTATGCTCAAAAATGAATCGCCAAAAAAGACGAAATATGCGAAAAGGTGACTGCCAACAATGTTTTTTGTGTGGGACAGTGCCCTCCAAAAATGGTGACAGCGGGAAGCAAGGCAAGGGAGAGGGTGTACGCACATGCAGCGGCTTACTGGAAAAAGGTCCATAAGGCTTATTGATGAGAAACAGTGTTTTTAGTGGCAACTATAGCAACATAAAAGTGGTCACAATCCTCGATGCGACTTTCCGCACGCATTTTCGCAGCAAGAGTCGCCGACAGCCAAGGCCATGAAGGGGATGCTCATGACCCTGGGCTTTGGGAAGCCTCCGCCCAACATCACCCCAGCCCAGCTGTTCTCCAAGACTGAAACCAAGGTCAGAACACTCCCCTCCCCGCATCAGTGTTTCTCCGTCCATCCAGTGAGTTGGAGACTAAACAAAATGGGGCCCATTCCTGGTACTTTGCGGCGTTTGGCGCCGTGTTTTCATGGCTTTTGTCGGTATATACGTAATTCTATTTCATGTGACCCGATACCCACCCCCCTTATGTTTCCTCTTGTTTCGATTATCGGCACAAGGTTGGCGCTCCGAGTTTGATCACAACGTTTCATCTGTCTTTTAGTCCCTCATACATCCCAGGACTGGAACCACCCTTCAGGAACATTATCCACCATTCCGAGCCTTTTAGAACTGCCATTGATAATATATTCTCATTGATTATGCCTAACTCGTAATTTGTATTTTGTTATTGTCCAATGTTCTTTTTTTCCCAGCTATTCCCTTCTGTAATGCCTTTGGGCCTTGCGGAAACAATAAACAAAATGAAATTAACGATGCAAAATCGGGTAACGGTTAGCCCCGAAGCTTTGACATCTTGTCCGGACCACTGGTGCCACATTTGGGAGGAGACAAAGCGTTCGACGACCAGTAGTGTATTTCGGGGACTAATAAAACACAATTATTTTCGGGCGCACTTTCTCGTATGTTTTTTGTGGAACCGCGATTGCAAAGGGCTCTGCTTTCCTTCCTGCTGCGACTCGTATGTTGTCCACCGCTTTGCAGGTGCGTGAGCTGCTGCCCAAGGCCGGACCCGATACGCTGGGCAAGCCCCTGTTCCAGGGGGGCCTGACGGAGAAACAGTGGTTTGCCCTGGCCAAGCTGCAGGCACAGATGCAAGAAGAGTACCGCATCCGCCGCGAGACGCTCATCAAGCGGCTGGACGTCACCGTGCAGTCCTTCAAGTGGGGCGACAGGCTCAAGGCAGGTGCCCCTTGCCTTCTCAGGCTGCTCTTGCCGGTGTTTGCTCCCAGACAGGTCCACACATTCACGAGGATCCCGGCGATTAGAAGAGGCACGAAGAGTCGCGAGTTCCGATTCTCCAAACTCTCAGAAACAGTTGTGACTTCCAACGATTGGAACTCGTGTAAGATGACGAGTTGTACGATTCAAATTTACTGAGTCACGAGTTCTAATGAAGGAAGACGATTGGGCCAGTTGGTACTAGTTCATTGTTAAGGGTACAAACAGCAGAACGAAATGGACAAAGTAAAAGGAGACGGGCGGACTTACAGTGCTGTTTCTGTCGGTCTTCTTTTGTTCCAATGATTGGGCTTCATTGATTGGAACTCGCAGGGTGACATGAGCTTCAGTGATTGGAATTGAAACTTACGTAGAGAACTGCGATTTCCAGTTATCCAATCTTTCGATTCTTTTCACGAGTCCAAATCATTGGGACTTGCGAAAAGAGCCTGGCAAACGCCGGGACAGAGATGCCTGTTTTCGTAAAAAGTTATCCGTGCTGGGGGACCCAACTTTTCGTATATCACAATGATTGGTCTTCGCGGGGGCTGTTGATTAATTATTGCAAAAAAAAGAAGTAACAAGAGATTGAAATATAGACGACGACGAGAAAGGGGGTATCGATGGTGACTCCGGCAGCAACTGGAATGAACATGTAAATATTGTACATAAACCGTTCCTTCTGAACGAACTCGCTACATTTAATCCTTTTAACGAAGAAACATAACAGGAATTTTGTCTGTAAAAAAGTTAGCTTATCTCCGAGTAAACATAGTACTTTTATTGCATTACTAAATGCATAAAATCCCACAGGGCAAGGAGGACAAGATCATGCAAGTGTACCAGCCGAGACGCCAGCTCATGCAGGCGGAGCCTCGGGTTTCCTTGGGCCACGTCCTCGCTGCCAGGGAAGGCAAGTCCAACCAGAGCTGTAACTCTCGGATGGCGACAGAGTCTGTTACTCCAGTTGAAATGTAATGAAGTAACAAATGAAGTTGTCGTACATTCTTACAAATCTATTTTGAGTTAGTCACAGCTGCTCGCACCAGCTACCAAATTACGTCCAAGTGTGATTTTGGGATGTGCGACGAAGTTGAAGTGTGCTGCGGTTGCCGATGAACGGCTCAGGCTGCTGTACGGCAAGGTTAGTTGGTACAGTTCCACCTTGATTTGCCACTACTTATGGCACTCATTGAGGCTGTGACAGCACAGAGTGATTATGTTTGGACTAGCTATGATAATAGAAATTTGAGTATGTATTGGTATTACAAACATGCTTAAACTTTTTTTCACTACGGACAAGTATAAGGAGAACTCGGAAAAATAATCTTTTTTTAGGTCGGCAGCTACTTGGAGACACTTAAAAAAGATACTGCAAAGAAGTTCAGCGCCTATTTTAGTGCGTAACTGTCAACCACGTTCTGGCCACACCACGGAGAGGCCAATTTTTTGCTCGAGGCCACCAAACCATTATTTAAAGGGAATAAACGAAATGTTGTTATGTCCCTCTGGATTTAAAAGCAGCGCCGCTCCATAGAAGTATTGCGACGAGCTGCGTGCGTGCGAGCCCGTCGAACCGGATTTCCCTTGTCTCCCGGCCTATTCAACTCCTGCGGGGAGTGGCAACTAAAACGGGCAGGTTGTAACGGGTGGCGGAGCTCGTAACCATGCCAACCCCCAAACAGCTTTACCCGTGCTGTGCCAGTTGACGTCGCGTCTCCCGGGATACATCGCACTCTCCGATGGCCGATCTTCGAGCGCCCTCTAGAACCGGTCCTTTGGAAGGAAAGATATAGTCATCCGTTCAAAATACAAGCTGGCGATTGTCATTAGTAGATAGAGTTGATCATGTTTACCCTATTTCTGAATGTGGGAGGTACTATATTCCAAGTTTCGATTCAGTATCCCTTCAAAGGGACACTTCAACGGAATTTGAAATATACTCATCGTGTTCAGAAATAGGCTGAATATGATCCACAATATCCGTAAATGACAGTCTCACGTTTGTATTTTGAGCCTGATGGCTGCATTTTTCGTTATAGACGGCCCACTCTGGTGAGCACTTGGAGACCAACCAGCGGAGAGCACGTGACATTCGGCGCAATCGTGACATATAGTCTCGGGAGGAGTAAAGCTGCAGCGAGGCTTATGTCGACAGGATGTCCTAGCTGTTCCAGCAGCCGAAGTACGCCAGCGATCAGGGTACCGCAACTAACCCCAAACTGCTTTTGTATAAATATTGAGTGATGGCTAAACCTTCTGTAATCTTGTAGAGGGACAATAGGCACCTCTGGGACACACAAAAGTTTCAGGGAGAGGGGAGTTCCTCCTTCCCCTCTTCTCTCATGGTGGCCCGAGGCGAGACAGTGATCGTCACTTAAAATCAACTGGATTAGTGCGCTCAAACACGAATAGACCATGAAATAAGCGCCGAAATTTGGCCGTAGTATCCTCTAAGGATACCTATTGGATTCCCGGTTGACGGAGTGAGGCCGTCCAGAAGCGCGAAGGGAGTACGAGCATTGGCCACCGTCGACTTGCAGATCTGCTGGCGATTGAGAAGACGAGCGGAGCGGGGGTGCGCCAGAACACCAAGAGCGCCGTAAACCGGGTGCTGATTGGCTCGGTGCCGGACCGGGGGGGCCGTCCTGAGGACCAGCAGCCCCCGCCCCCCGAGATGCCCAGCTGGCAGAAGCGCACCGAGGGACCCCCGGGAGGCGAGTCGCGCCGGTTCTGTACTCTGTCAGAGTCCAACTTGGCCACGCTCGCGACACGTCCAAGTTCCTCCCCTTGGGTTCTTTTAAGACCAGAGAACGCACCGGTGCCATTTGCCAAGTAGCCGTAGAACACTTCCCTATACGGTAGACTCTCGTTAATTCAAGCTCTCTTAATTCAAACTAACATGCAGGTCCCATCCCATGCGTCTCTATGGGAGGAAACTCCCAATAATTCAAACTTGGCTTTATTCGAACTAATTTTCATCCTCCCTCGAGTTAGAATTAACGAGATTTGACTGTATTTCCTAGTCTTTATGTGCATCATCCTTTCACAGTTGGCTCAGAAAACCTTAGACAATTTTAGAAACAACCATTCTCTGTACGTCGTACGCACGTTTCATCACGAAAATACCGCAAAACCTTTACTTTGAAAGTGAAATTCCAGGGCCACGTCGTAGAAGGCACCAGCGTGCCAGTGCATTCTCTCGTCGTAAAAGGTAGCAGGAACTCTGTCTTCATGAAACGCAAGTGTGTGAAAGGATTTTAAGTTCCCAAGCGGCGAAAGCTGAGAGTGAACATCGTTGGAGTGCTCTCCTCCACGCAGGCGTGTTTCGCGCATTGCTCCGTCGTGCCGATTGGTCCATGGGAGCGATGGGGTTCACTCTTTGCCAAGTTACGCCGAAACGAAGCCTAATGCAAGGTGGTTTGCCCTGAGAGCCTAGGATAAGAGAGGTTACCTTTCACCGAATAACGAACAGGGAGCACACTGAGAGTGTAGTTGCACCTCCTGCAGGTTCGAAGGAGGTGCCGTTCTGACCCTGTGGGGGACTATGCCCAAATTCTTTCAGACTCTGCTCTTATGTTTCCTCAATGGAGTCCTCAACTACCACATTGTTGCATTGCAGGTAGGGGAGGCGGCACCAGTTTCTCGAGCGGTCGCGTCCAAGGCGCCGGATGGGACAACAACCAGCGCGGCGGCAGCGGCGGATACGGGCAGCGCGACGGCCGTGGGGACGGCGGGTACGGCCGCGGAGACGGACAGAGGGACCACCAGGGCCGTGGGGGAGGGAGAGGGGGCTACGGGCAGCGGGACAACTACGGAGGGCAGCAGGGAGGCTACTACGGGCAGCAGGAGGGCTACGGATACGACCGGCAGGAAGGGCACGGCGGAGGCTACGGGAGAGGAGGGGGAAGGGGCGGAGGCTACAGGGGAAAGAGGGGAGGGGGAAGGCAGGACAGGTGATGCGTGCACGTGGAACCCTCGACGTTGTGTAGCTACGGCAGGACTAAGTTAATGCAAAGCGGTGCGCGTGTGTGTGTGTGTAAGTTTGCGTGTGTGCTTGAAGTATAGCTTGAAGAGAGAACTGTAATGCTTGCATGATTGCCATTTTTTTTTTTTTCCCCCCAATATGCAGTGTTGGAAATAAAAGAAAAGCTGCTGGCCAGAGTTGCGGTGTACATACCCGGGTTGTTCCAGACATTTTAAAGCTGGAAATGCATTTTCTTGCGAATGTGGGAAGCAAGTAGCAAAATCTTCAGTTTGCAGGATGTTTACGAACTGTGGCCTGCAGAGGAGTTACAACACTGGACTTTACAGCCGAACAAACTTGTAATTATAGCTTCACACCAGTGACAGAAGTCGTCCAACGTAGACTTCTATGGAAGTAAAGGTAGGGGCGCACCAATGCGTACGCCCTGCAAAGGCAACTAGATCGGGGAACACAACTGCATTACTGGTAAAACAGTTGCGTGCAGTTAGGCAAACAAATAAGACACTTGTGTGGCAATTAGGAACAAAAAAAACCAATGTGGTGCAGCTGTGCATTTGCGCTAGGGATGCCGCAAACTTTTTTCGAACCGAAGTTTCGACTATCGCATCCAGCGGTTCGAAAGGTTTCGATTTTTCAAACTTTCTATATCGTAAAATTCGACAGAAGTTGAATTTTCGAACCTGTTAAACTAAGAAGTTAGACGCTTTTCGAACCGTCGAACTTGTGACAGTAAAAAATTCGATCCTTTTCTAACTTATTACGCTGCAAAATTCTATGCTTTTCGAACTTTTGAACTTGATAGACCAAAAAATTCGATGATTTTCAAACTTCTGAATTTCTTGCACTAAAAAATTCGATCCTTTTCTAACTTATTACGCTGCAAAATTCTATGCCTTTCCAACTTTTGAACTTGATAGACCAAAAAATTCGATGATTTTCAAACTTCTGAATTTCTTGCACTAAAAAATTCGAACTTTCGAATTTCCTACGCTATGGAATTCAATAATTTTCGAACTTATATAAGAGAATTAGAAGACCGGCGGACGGTTTCATTTGAACTCGAGTAGTGAGGTACATTCTTAATTTTTTTTTCTCAAATTTTCAGATGCAATGCTGCGTTTCTTATGAAAGACAATGCTGTTTATTTCAATCATCTGGCATGCTTAGTTTTAAAGAAATTAATTCCCGAAGGGGCGAGGAAGGACGACAGTTTTTCTACGATTGTCGTTTGTGCCATATTTGAAGCACGCTATAGCCAAAGCTATTTATGGTAGAGATGTTAAACATTTTAAGAATGATCTATGTATAGCCTAGGTAAGTGACGTCCTAAGATGTGATTATCGTTTTTCAAGATAAGTTTCGAAGAAATGTCCAAACATGTATCTACGGGTAATTATGCCCTAAACTTGATATTTTTTTTCGTCTAAGGTGTTTGAGGTATCGCATTTAAATTAACACTACAGACACTTCATATCATTGCCATCTGCAGAATACAAAATAATGTATTGTTTTTTCACGTTCAGGAAAAAATTAACTCATGGGAGAAGATATCTAATATTGTTTAAGTTCAGCACGTCATTAAAAAATACACATTTGTTTTTTCGCTTCACGTTCTTGGGACGTCTTTCTTTTAGCCTATACACATTTTGGTAGGAGAAACTTGTTTCGAAGTTCTGAGCCTCTGAATATGCAAGAATACAACACTTCCAGCGAATTCTTGATATAGATTTTTTTTTTTTATCAATGACACAGTTATTTAGTTTGAAAAGACATAGCTGTGAACTTCCCGAACCACTAAGCATGTGACAAGTAGTGCCTTCTGACAACGAGTTTTCGAGAATGACCATCTACTCGATCTTTTCTGCACTGAAGAGCGACAGTAGCTATACATATGCCTAAATAATTTCAGATTAAAATAAGCTCGTCCACGCCCTCTTTCCCGTATTCTTTTCTTTAACAGTCCGAAATATCTCGAAGGGGTAAAGGGGGCTGCAACCCCCCTTTACCCCTTCCAGATATTTATCTCTTTCAGTGTTGCACTATAAAATTCTAACTAACTCGAGAATGTGCAGGAAAGCTGGTTATGGGTGTGCTTCCATTAATGAGAACTGTAAGATTGTCAAAGAGCCATGAATAAAGTATTGCGCAAGTTGCAACCAGCAGGAACACACCTTGTGGCTGCTTCTTGGAAATGTTGGCATGAGCAAGCGCATTAACAGAATGCCCAGCTTTTCTGTTCAGCTTCAAGCCAACGGGGCAGCTAAGGCTACAAGTGCAAGCTAGACCGCACTTGCTTGCTTTCAAAGATACCTCACTTGTGCAAGTGCTCGTTCTGCAAACGCTTTGTTTCAAAGCTGCAATCCTGAGCCTGTAGCCTTCTATATACAGTAAAACCTCGTTATAACAAAGTTGAGGGAGTGGTCGTAATTATTTCGTTATAACCATTAGTTTGTTATAGCCAATGTCCATTTCTTCACTATTAGCAAGCAAGGGGAATTATGATTGCTTTGTTATATCCATTAGTTTGTTATATCCCATTTTGTTATAACGAGGTTTTACTGTATACCCTTTGTGACATTCTAAAACAATGGATTGATACTCTGAGTATGTTTGGTGGCCCTCACACAGGCACCGAGCTAACAGAGATGCACGCAGTTTGTCATTCAGACAGATGGCATTTATTGAAGGGGAAAAAAAACGTACACACGCAAATGGCCCCAAAACTCCGGTCCATTTTTATGGGACGCCCTTCGAAAAGAATATTCGGCGCTCCGCACACAACAAATCGATTCAGTTAAGGTGGTTAACGACAAACACTGGGAGCCCTAAACCACAACCGACGCAGGAATGGTTTGACCAGAAATCGGTACTCGCTCTAGCATGTCGAAGCCTAGAACAACGGGCAACAATCACCTAGACGGACAAACCTTCGCTCTGGTGATCACATCACTCTACTAGTGTTACTTTATATAATACAATATGTTACAACGGTCGCTCGACAACGCGGACACACGAGTGCCATCGGTGTTCTTTTTATTTCTCGTCGCTTCCTTGCACGAAACTTTGCGGCCTACCGTAGTTCATTTGCCTGCAAATGTGACCCTCGCCTAAGAGTGCAATGTGGCGCGGTTATGTACAGTTTGGTGTAGTTGAGGACAATAGACAGTATATGCATTACTACGAGATTGAAATTAAAACAAAAAAGAGACGGATTGCACACCGAGCTTTTGAGCGACTTCACGTCAACGTGAAGCACCGCAAAATCAAACAATGACTAACTAGCGGCTATAGAAAGAAAAGAAGTTGGCCAAAGAAAGGCAATCGACAGAGGTCGTAACTACCGAGTGTAGAAAACGGTAAAACGAAATTCCTTTCGCATAATGAAAATTCTCTAGCTTTCCAAACAAATAAAGGAGACAAAAAAAAAACGCGGCAATAAAACGCCGCCAAACCAAAAGTGGTTTATGGGCATTCGTTGCCCAAAATATCTATATAAAAATAGGCGTAAATTGGGATCAAGGCCCAAGACGAACTAAGTAATGGAATAAGGTGTCGGCAAGAGTCGGGCACCTGGGCCTTCGTTGAACGACACAAAAACCCACCGCGCGACTTAAATGCAAGATGGAAACGCCATCGTTTCATCTCGCACCAGCAACGCCCTTCGACATCCCCGCCGCAAAAACCCGCTAACCGACATGAGCAATGCTAGCCAAAACTCTGGAGGCAGTTGCCAGTCATTTTTTCTCTCGAGCCATGCATGCGAAACCCGCATCCAACGCCGTCTAGTCCCGCAACCGCCGCTACCAAATCTGCCAGCAAACAGTTGTTGGGCCGGTGACAACAGAATGCACGGTTTTACAAAAATACGCAGGCTCGGCGGCGCACGGATGCGGGTGCGAGCATGCTCGCAGACGCAGTTTGTGCAGTCACCGACAGATCAAATACGACGGGACGAAACATCGCCCAACACCCCCTCAAACAATAAAAGCTCGCAAACAACCTCCACTACCCCCATGTAACGTCGTCGCGTTCGGATGTCGCTGGCTCGACGATCGGACCCGACATCGAGCATCCTTCGAAGTACTGATTGAACACAAAGCCCAGCCGAACGCCGACGTGGCACTTTCGTCCAATCCACATCTGCGCTCCATCTCGCCGCGACGACGTTGCAATGCTAGTGTGTGCTGGCTTTAATAATTCTATTCCCCGTTTCACCTTACATCCAACCACAGCGGATGACAGGAGCCGTCGGAGCCAATCTAAGGCCGTGCGAGCTTTCCGGGACCCGCAACGAAGCACGTGACGCGCAGAAAGCGTAGTCTCGTGCCGTGTGGCTCGTACAGCCTGCTGCGGCCGAACGTACAGTGAAATGGAGTATTGGTGGTGTTGCCTCGAGGCGCCAGCTTCGGCGGGGTGTGCGTTGTCACACCAGAGCGATACGCCGAAGAGGTGACGCACACAAGAGGCAGTCCCGAATGTTACGAACCTTTGACGACTGCACTGCGAGTCGCACAGACAGAAAGCTCTAGTGCGCCTGGAGTTGGTGCAGTCGACGGGTTGGCGCCGACGACTGACGGGTTCGGGTGGCCGGTGCACCGTCGAAGGGCGCGTCTTCAGGGGATTCTGGCCGTTCCTGGGTGGCACCCTAGAAGCCGGCGGTGCCCGTGAGCAGCTTGTCGAGCACCCTCACTCCCTTCTCCTCGTACTCCTGCCGAGACATCCAGAACTTGGGATTGTCCTTCATCACTTCAGCCAGGACGGCGCCGCCAATGAACACCATGTCCTTGCGCCGGGGAGGGTCCTCAATTCGGATCTTGAATTTCTGCAACGTGGAGAGAGACTTCGCTCTCATTATGGTGCCCGAACCACATCTTTGACTATAGTCGCCGAAAAGATGAGAAGGGCAAGGAGGAACTTCGGTCGTCCCGCCTCCAACACAAACTTCCTACCTCCGACGACGCTCCAAGGTCTCGTGCACCTCGAGCGTGCAAGTAGGCAAAGCACGGCGAGAGGCGCAAAGCGCGTGCTGTGGGCCAGGTTTTCGAAGGACACCCTGCCATTCTCCCTTCGTCAGTGGCTAAACATGTCTAGCGTCTTATACCGCCCATGCGTCGAGAATGGTTCAGAAGTGGCAACAACAAAAGTGTTCCCTTCGTAGCGGCATTCCAACTCGGTCGCAGAAGCTTCTATAAACTGTCGAGTTAGAGAACAATAGAGAGCGAAATCGGCATCCGCCAACATCACCTCCACTGCTCTTTCACCGCGAGTGTCGGCACACAATGGCGAGGGTCGAATGCGACGTTGTCGCGTGGAAATCGGGAAACTACAAATGAGGATGCGTCAAACACACCGGTCCGCGACATGTTGCAAGCACCGCATCGTAATAAAGCAACAGTTCTCTCGACAACCGTTAACGGATAGAAAAAAACCTCAACCTACGCTCACCACACGAAATCACGATAGACGCAAGGGTCTAAGGGCCCGTTCACGCACATTCGCTTCTTTACGACGGAGTCCTTCCAATCTCCTACGATGCAAGAACACACTGGCACGCTAACACCATCTATGAAGTGATCTCGGAACTGCATTTCAGTAGAGCCAAGATTTTGCGGTATTTCCGACTTTAAATGTACGTAGTACCAGCTATGAGAAACAGCCATTTGTAACGTCATCCAAAGTTTTTTGAGCCAATAAAAAAAAGAAAGGAAACATACAGAAGTGCCCGGTGTTCCACCCGACAGATGGCACCGGCGTGTTCTCTCGTCGTAAGGGAAGGCACACGCTCGTCGGCAGTCGCGAGAAGCTACGCGGCAGCGGCAGTACACCGCTTGGAGGCCGAACAGAACCAAAGAGGAGGCAGTACTCGCCATGAGCTTGTCCGTGTCCCCCCGGAGCACCCGCTCCAGGTAGAGCTGCTTGATCTCTCGCTCAAGGCGGCTCGGCAGACCGGGATACATGGTGGACCCCCCGGACAGGATGATGTGCTTGTAGAGCTTGGGGCGCACGTCCATGTCGGCGCTCTGAATCGTCTGGAAGAGCAGCTCCGCCATGCCCAGGCCCTCCACGTTGATCAGGTGCGGCTGGAACAGGGCCTCGGGGGCCTCGAACCGCTCCCCGCCCAGCTTGATCGTGCGCCCGTCCGGCAGCTGCAATTACAGACGTTAGGCCGGGCTCTGCTCCAAAGAGTCCCACGCTAAGGACTTTGCTAAACAACGTTTGTAAATGAGGCAACACAGGCACCCATTTCCGAGCTCGATCACGCTGCCGTCCGGCAGCTGTGATGCTGACGAGCGGGCAACGTCCGGCCGGGCTTTGCTTTGAGGTAGAGCACTGCACGAGCCGCATTTTTGAGCCTAAGACCGGCCCAAGCCCGACCTCCTGGTAATTAGCTCGCCTGTGCTCGGTCCGGGTGTTTGAAACCAGGCCTGGCCCGAGCCCCATAATTTTCAACGTTACCCGGCCCGGGCCCGCCCAGGCCCAAATCCGATCTCATGTTGTAAAAACTTTGCCTCGTGGAGTATGAAAGTATTGTGCAACATAATTTTATGCACTTAATGCAATCGTTGAAGGTGAATATCTAGAACGCAACTTTTCCATTATGTCAGCTACGAATAACACATGTGAATTTATCTAGACTAGTTGAATTGCAACACCAAAGAGTGATATTAGACTAATAAATAAAAAAAAACCCAAGAGGTGGTATAGATGAATTGAACAGCCTATATAGGCCTAGAGTTCCTGTATAGGCTCCCTATGAAAGCCAGAGTTGCACGTTCATCCCCGTAGCGCCGGCTTTCCTGCATGGCCTGGGATTCTGCTCGTGACGTGACTGGTTTCTTGCAGCCGCAATGCAGTCAAACGCACTCGAACGCAACTATGCATAGGGGCATTAAAGCGAGAGGTCGTATGGCTTCGTGCGTACCTAACACGTAATTTATGCGCGCAAGTTGGAAGCACAGGGGGCTTGCGCATACGTGAAGCTATGCTCTCGCAAAACTGTCATGTCCACAAGCGGTACCACGAGCAACATTACATCAGTATCTGACGCTTTGATTTCTTCAAATAAGCTAGAACTTAAGAACTCTACCCCAAAACGCAACAAAGCGAGATTAAAAACACCGGACTCAAACGCCCAAGAACGTTGGGTGGGAAGAGCTCGTGTTTTGTTCTTGCACTTGAGCAGGCAAACGTCTGCGTAGCTCCGCTGCTGAATATCCCCACCCGGCCGATACCAGTCACGAGTAAACTTGCGAATTCGTACTCACTCTGCTTACAGAGGGGTACCAGCAGTATGTTGGCATCACGGGCAGTGGAACTGACTCAGCCAGACAAGCGCCTTTGGCCTATGCAGTGGGTTTGGCAAGTTGTATTACAACTTGTGAACATGTGAAGCGTAGTAGAGCTGTGCTCGTGTTTTCTTTGTAGCCAAGTTGAATGGATTTAACAAAGGCGAGATGAATTAGTTTCACAATAAATTTCTATGTTGAAACCAGACCGACTATTTACACTAGTTGGCGGGCCTAGATTGGGCTCAGGTCGCAGCCCCGAGCTCGATCCGAGCCCGCCAAGGGTCTGGCATGGACCCGCAGTCAAAAGCCCGAGCCTGGCCTGGGCCCCACAAAAACCCGCCTTACCCACACTTTCGGGACGGCTCAAGCCCGTGCAGTGCTCTACTTTGAAGTAGAGGTCACCCACTAATGACTTCACTAAATGATGGCGGCAAACAAGGCAACTAAAACGCTCTCTACCCGGCTTGCAGTCATGCGGTCGCCCAGCAGCTGCAACGTTTGGGCAATGCTGGGTGGACGTCTGGGCATTCAGCCAGTCTCTACTTGGAAGCACAAAGGTATGCGCACAAACGATTTCGCTAAACGATGTTGGCAAACGAGGCAACAAACGCTTTTCACCCAACTTAGCCATGCAGTCGCCCAGCAGCTATTGACGCCCAAGCCGAGAAATGCAGGGCTAGAAAAGGCGGCACTCACAGTGTAGGACTCTACGAGGAAGGTGGTCTCGAGGGCCAACTTCTGGTCCTGCTCCACGTTGTAGCTGACGAAGCAGAGCTTCTCCTTGATCATGCGCACTGTCTCAAAGTCTGCAGAGTGGTTGAACACATAGCCACGTAGCAGCAGCAGCTGCAACGAGAAGGTGGGTTTTCAAAAACCCCCTCGAGATATTTAAAAGAGAAGAAATGCTAGGTTTATCTTGATTTTACGAATAACGTCGGTAAACACAGATTGCGCTTCCGTGGCATTCTACAAAAATTGCAACGGGCATTGCAGTTTCTTTTTCTTTTCTTTGGTTATAGCTCATGTTATTCTAAACTGTGTCCTTTATGCAATGGTGCGCACATCATCTTGTTTTCTTCCCACGAACTGCTCGAGCGCAAACATTGGACGCAGACATCCGGCATTCACGTTCTAACGGTCTGTAGACCATTGCGGTACAGACAAAGACTGCTAGCTTAGCTTTTACCCGCTAATTGGCTCAGAACGTCTAGCTAACAATCATGAAGTTGAGGGGTTGAATTCTTGTTGGGGCATGTATAGTATTTCATTCTTTCTTCTCAATTAACCATTCTTTTGTCCCCTGAAGTATCTGTTGCGCATTTCGTAAAGGTGCCCGTGGCATTCCTTCGCGTTATCCTCAGGGATCAACCCTGAATCATATTCTCCATTATTGTAGCGTAAAGGAACAAAAATAGGGTGATTTTTTTCACATACTCTGTGGCTCACTCAGATGACGTGCACAAAACTCCCGCCCTAGACCCAAGCAGAAAATTTGTGGCACCCGAATCTTTCCACTGCAGACAAATGTAAGCGAAGAATGTATGTCCGTCAAAGAGAGCAAACATTCTAAGCACGCAGTGGCCTTCCCCACCTTGATGAGGTAGCGCGTGATATCCCGGCCGGCAATGTCCAGTCGCCGGGTCAGGTGGTTCAGGGCAAAGCCCTCGTAGACCGGGCAGATGTGGGTCACGCCGTCGCCGGAATCCACCACCACCCCCGTGTATAGGCCTGGCAAATCAAAGGGACCGTAGTCATGTATACGTCGACATCCGCGTCGTTGGCAACTTTTGTCACCGGCGGTTACGGTACTCGTAGGATCACGCCGACGCTATACTCTGCATGAACTATTTTGCGATACACCCTCGAGGCTAGCATAGCTTTCACTGTTCAGCAGTCCCGCACTGCCACAAGTGTGCATGGCTTTGTCTTTTGTGCCTCACTTGCACGTGTTTGCGCAACTTGCTTTGACAACGTAGCACGAAATAGATGACATTGAGTATAGTGTGGTGCAAACATCCTCCACGTTTGTGCGGGCACTACGCTACGGCCAGAAGGCCCGTTTACGCACTCGCGTTTCCTTGCAACTTTTACGACGAGGGAACACACTGGCAAGCTGGTGCCATCTATGAGGCAATTCTGGAACTGCATTTCACTGAAGAGTGTACATATTCGTGAGATCAAGTGTATCTATAACATTGCTTTTTTCGAGCCAAGAAAGAATGGTGCACGATAAAGAAATATGAAATATATGGAAAGTGAGTGTTCCACAGCTACCTGGTAAATAGCACCAGTGAGTTTTCACACGTCCCAAGAAGCTTTAAAGCACACCAATCATTGTTCTGCAAATGCGCGAGACATGCCCCGAGTGGGTGCTCTGCCACTATTCACTTCTGAGGCCCGGTCACTTCGGTGCTGCGCCGCCAATAGCTTCCGAGGCATGTGGCTTGTGCTCCGACACATTAGATGCTACTCGTAAACCGACAAAAACACATTGAGGGCTTTACACCCACCCTGCGCGTAGAGGGTGAGCACGGCCTGGATGGCGATGTAGGCACTGTCGAACTGGTAGCGTTCGAACATGACCTCGATCATGCGCTCGCGGTTCTTGAGCGGGTTCATGGGAGGCTCGGTGAGCAGCACCTTGCACTCCCCGGGATCGATGTTCAGCTTCTGCTCCCCGAAGGTGTAGTCCCACACCAGGCACATGTCATCCCAGTTGCGCACTATACCGTTCTCCATCGGGTACTCCACCTCCAGCATCGACCGCAGCTTCGACGCCTCGTCGCCCACCATCACGTCCTGCGGGAGAGGTCGCTCTTCTCTTAAGACCGGCCCCTTCGAAAATGACGCGTCCGGGACATTTCTAAGACAGAATTTGTTTGCCATTTGTAATTTTTACGACCTATAGGGGATGCGCCGGCACTTATCGAAATGGCCATCGTCTGGACCAGTGACGCAGATCCGCAGCACGAGGCTAGATTGACGACGCGTAGCAAGTAATCCTAATTTTGTTCGATATGAGCAAGTTTAAAGCCTCCACAATTTGTTTGTGTCAGGAAGGTGTAAGCAAACATCTTTATATGATGAGATAATCTATAGCAGTGTGACGGTGCAATTGTTACACTGCGGAACGACCATTGCTCGAAGTTGTGAATAGAGCTGGATTTGGCCTTTTCGGTGTTCCGTTAAGTGTTACATGCCAGCTAGATTTGGAAAGAAAATACCACACATATTGCTAGTTTCCTCTTAGGTTGTTTGCCCATGCACATTTAGTTATTCAATATATTTCAAATGCCTCATATATGTGACAATACGCGAGGGTTAATACCTCGGAGGCTGACTTGTTCGATAACGGATCTACGAGCTAAGCAAAAATAAGTTCTGCAATACACCTTATAATAATCCATGCATGCAAAGTACGTAGGATTATGATTTTTACGACTCTTTTTAGAAGATAAGAGAACATTTTTACTTGCAGAAATACCTCTTACTGTGGAGACATAGGAGATACAAAAAGGCAACCAAACAAAGCAAAGACTCAGCCTCATTCGTGAGGACAACAATCAGGCACGACAAATGGCATGCATAATTAATGCATGCTCGTATGTGCTAGCACGCGATACAGCAACGTTTGTGCAAGTCATTGCCTCCCAATAATGCGCCATGCCCACATGTTCAGTGAAGTAGAAAATATATTTCAATTTCATTACCCCCTGCTACCTTAAACGGTCATGGATTGTCCAAACGTTGTAACTGTAGGAACGAGAGTGCAATGGCCCAGAGACATGGTCTGGGCAGCAAACCAAAACGACAAATCTGCATCTCATTAAAAAAAGATAAAAAGAAAAAACGCATTGTGCAGTTTTGGTGTTCGCTCAGTTTTGGGTTGCAGTGCTTTCAACGAACGGTGCTTTCGATATTCCTCGTCGCATACGAGTAAATCACTTACGTAGGACTCCGTACTTGTGTCCTTGGGGCATGAACATAAAAAATTCCGGACAAATTAGACACTCACACGAGGTTTAGAGGACGCCAAGAGCACTTTAATCGACGCAACTCTGGCTATGACTAAGCAAACGCCCTACAAAGGAAGGCGACGGGTGATATCACCGGAAATATCAGGTATGCTCAGGTTCCAGGCACAAATTTCGTCACCGGTTACGATCAGGATTAGTAGAACCAGCTCAAACAGATATAGGCACTTCGGAGATAGCAATATAATAAGCAATAAAGCAGAAATTTGGTTCGATTCAGAGGTGACGGGTTGGACAGATAGCGACAGTCGATTCGTGACCGAAATACCGGGCTTACCTTTATCTCGATGTCGCCTATTTTGTGGGCGGCTCGTAGGATGGGCCTTCCCACGAGCGACGGGAATGTGAAAGCCGGAAAATTTGATCCCGCATATCCGCATTTGACGAACTGCGAAAGGTAAACACAAACATCGGCACTCCAAACGGAAAGAGGGCCTCCATCTTGGGAGCTGGGGTACACCGGCCCGCTGTCAAACGGAGGCCCATCGACGAGCAGAACCGGCGGTAGCGCCGAAAGCGAGCATATGTTTCGAAGAGGGACTTACCCCTGTACCGTTGTCGCATATAATTACTTTTTTACCTTGACTATCCATTACGATTAAGGGGGATTAAAAACTAGCTACACATCCAGACGAATAAAAAACACCAACACACACCCTCTTCTCGCATAACCGGAAGTGAGCGCGGAAACAGCGGAAGGGCGTCGTTTGTCGTCTGCTAGTCATCTGCTCCGCGTCTCTCGAGATGGCGCCACACGTCCACGACTTGGCTAGACTTGACTTGTCAGACTTGTATAGAATAAAAACTTTGCGTTCACAGAGCATCACGCGTTTGTTTCTTTTTATTTTTATGCTGTTATTTATTATTTCTGGTAGCGACTTTCCCCTGACTGGAAGCCAACAGAAGAAAAACAACCACAGATTGCCCAGTTTGTTTTTTAAGCGCCATTCACTTACAACAAACGTTGCAAGACCGATTTTTAAAGGGACACTGACAGAGTATTTATGCTCGCCAATTTGTATTTGTACACGACATATGAGAGCCCCTTTCCTCCCGAAACCTGGCTGGTTTGAGTCACGCTCACTCTCTTCTCCGTGGTCACGTGCCGCTTTTTATGTTTTAGACAAACCGCCAAAGACAATCAAGGTCGTGGGTCCATTGACTAAAAAAAAAAAAGTTGCACAGCCACGTTACTTTTGGTATCTTGCTCTTCCTCTACAGGGTGATACAAGGAGATGTCAGGCCCTTTAAATCGACCGGAAAATTTGGTTTCTTAACCTATCGCGCTACGACTTTGTGCAGCGTTGCCCACAGATGGTGAATTTTTTTTGTAAAATTTGCAAAGAGTGAACTTACCTGAGGAAAAAGTAAAGAAAGAAAAAGGCTTAGCTCCTATGAAAACGCAGCAAAGCCACCGGTCTTCAAACGACACGGCGCCGTTGCGCACGGGAGACAAGAGATGGCGCAACGAACGAGCATACGGAGCCGAGAGCCAGCGTCTTTAGCAGACAATCTTTTAGACTCAAAAGCCGCGTGCGTTCCGCAGGTGGCGACAGTTGCAGAAACAAAAACAGGCATGGTAACAACAAAGAACTGCAGTTCCTCGTCTGCTAAATACGCCGGCTCTCGGCGTTGTCTGCTCGTTCGTTGGCGGCAGTTGGCGTCGCGACCGCTTGCGCCATCTCTTGTCTCCTGTGCAAAACGGCGCAGTGTTGTTTGCAGACCGGTGGCTTCGCTGCGTTTCCATAGGAGCTAAGCCTTTTTCTTTCTTTACTTTTTCCTCAAGCAAGTTCGCTCTTTGCGAATTTTACAAAAAAAAATGCACCATCTGTGGGCAACGCTGCACAAAGTCGTAGCGCGATAGGTTAAGAAACCAAATTTTCCGGTCCATTTAAAGAGCCTGGCATCTCCTTGTATCACCCTGTATATTTCTTCTTCCTCCCAAGTCCACTTTAGGTTTTGAGCAATTGTGTCTTTTTACTTTTTCAAAATATATGTTGTGACCTGTAGCAAAATATTGATTGGGTAGTTTTCTGACACCCCCATAGTAAACTACTGATAAAAAAATGTGGGGGGGGGGGGGGGGGGGGTTCAGTTGGTTCAGTGTTCCTTCAAGCCTCTTGCGACGGCATAGGACCGGATGCGTTACAGTGGAGCAGGTTCTACACCATCACAAGAAACTGGTCTTGACTCTCTTGGACCTACTCGGTTCCAAGTGTGTGAACGGTGCTTTAGGTGGGTTGAAACATGCGCAAGCGGACTTAAACATGAGATCTCCAAAGCAGTAGAGTCTCCCCAAAAGCTGGTTCCTTGATGAACATATACCGTATTTTCCAGAGTAGACATGATTAAACCTGAAAATTTTACTCAGTCCAAACTATACCAGGATTTTTTTTTTCTTGATCGTTCATTGTGACAGGATGCAAAGGATTTTATGAATAACAGAGTACATTAATGTTGATTCATGTATGATACAAGGTGAGCTGTGCATGATAATTTTTACGTTCAGATTATGCACAGCGTGCAAACTATCTAAGCAAAAGCTTTTATCTTTTACTTCACATTTGCCTCTGCGGACTACGCACCGCGTATGGACTATAGCCTGGAAAGTATGGTAATTTAAATTCCCTGGCTCGAAATTCCGTCCAATTTTAAGTTCAAAAGTTCTTACCGTCCGGCTATGCTGACTTGAAACCATAAAGTTGTTTTGAAGACACCTGCTGTTTTGCTTGATTAAGTAGCATGCAATCTTTTACACCAGAGCAATCCATAGTTTTTTTGACAAATGCACACATAGCAGGTAGTGTATCCCCAGACATCCGTCTAAAAAAAAAAAAAACTTGCACAACATGCCGCTATACAGCGGGCAAGTGTTCCAAAAAGTGTCCTTAGGGAATCAGCACGTAAGGAGGAGCGCGCCATTCAAAGGGCAACATAGATAATGCGCAGGGAACGCGCGACGATGAGACGGACAAACGCGCAGTCATTGGTTGAGATCTGGGGTAGCGCGTCTGGGTGGTAAACAAACGCACGAGGTGCGCAGGGAGCAGACGAACTTGCACGCCATATTGCATTTTGTCAAGAGGATTAAAAGGGAGCAAGCTAAACTGACAGGCCTTGGCATCTTTTCATCATATTTGTCAAAATTAATGCTTGAGCACATCACAATTCCTTTGAAATAATGCTGCAAGGAACAAGCTTTTGGAGACTCCAGGCCATAAAAGAATATGCTTTATTTACAACCTTTTTATCCAGCTAATATTACCGACTGAAAGTTTGAAAATTTGTATCACTGACAAAACTAAGTCTTCAGAGATACTTCAACTGTGACCTGCAGACTATCAAACCGGAGGCAGCTTCATAATACGGCCTCTGCACAGCGAGTGGCAATAACTTGCAAGTCGGTGAAGAGTTGTGGTGCATAAGTAAGGCAAACGAGTTTTAAAATGACTTGTAGCAGAGCTGCTTTAGCCAGAAAGAAAAAAAAACAAAACTTCTCTTTGCAGATGTCCACTTTAGTGGTGTCATTTGATCTCTCATGTCAGTACACTTAGGAAAAACACTGATTCGAAACTACTTTAAAATTAAATGCATTGTAATATCCTGCTGGGCTTTACTGCTACATAATATCTACAGGTTGCTGCTTCGTTCATGACCGAAATAAAAACACTGTTAAGTACTCCAAACTTGACCTATACATATGTGACGCCACAAAAGTGTTGTCACACAACGGGAAAAAATTATAGTAAAAAAGGGGTGAAAAATGAGCTTATACTCCCTTTCCACATTTGCACCCACAGAGGAGTTCAAAAGGGGTATAACACAGACATTACACCTCTTCGATACTCTCACTCTTGAGGTGAAACTAAAGGAACCAAACAGGTCTGCCGCACTGGCTTGGGTCATCGAGGGTACAAAAGAATTATTTGACACGATTTGCAGAGCTGGATTTTCGAGTCCCTTGTTTTCCTACGGCACAAAAAAGATGAGGGCAGCACATTGCGTACAAGTTCCAGGAGCAATTCCTGTCTGCCACTTTGTTGGCAAAGGTTTGAGACATCTTTGGCACTGGTTGTCTGCCGTTGCATGCAACGCCGTGCGTGGCGCTTTTGACGACAAGCGGCACACGTTCTTGAAGAACCAGGATGGCCTCGCAATGAAGACAACATCGCAGAGCGTCGTCCTCTCGGAGGCACACGACACAGTCGCTTTGCGGCGCGTCACTGCTGAAAGTTCCCAAAGATGAAAGGGTGCAATGTGTCCGTCTGCTGCTGGTAGTTGTGGCTTGCCGCTTTTCCTGCAATCAAAACGTAAGCACCGACTGTCTAGATTAAGACTCGTCGCGTCTGGAACGTTGTTGTGGGACCACTCACGTTCTCTCTGATACTGGGAGACTGCATTCTTCCGTTCCTCAGAGTCGAAGTACCACACCGTGATGGCAAACCTGCATCAGATCGCGTCTCAGTTAGGCAATTCCTACACTGTGATTAGCTTTTACCGCATTGCGGTCGCCTAGGACGAGTGTCACTAGAGGAACTCGGCCGTGGTAATTCCGCTGTAAAGGGACAGACTTCATTGTCATCATTATAATCACTAGCCGCCCTCGTTGTGACTCGGTGCTAGAACAGCCTTTGAAATACTTTAGGGTGTTGTTAGTAAGAATACACTTTTTTCTAAAAATTGCTCAATTTTTAGGAACATGCATTTGCCACAGGCAATCAAATTCGTGCCTCTGCAGAAAGGACAGTGACCCTGCATGCACAGTACATTTTACAACAGGCTCATTACGCTTACTCTAATGTCCCGAAAAGGAAATTTCGGAATATTATGTTTCACTTCTCTTCTAAAGCATAAAACTGCTAATCGGTGAGTAGTTGACGGAAAGGTCTGGCTAGCAGACAAGAACTTTGCAAGAGGTCCGCTGTTGTGAGGCATTTACGGTATGTTTCAGAAGTGAGTATGTTCAAAGTCACCGACAGAGTGAGAGCAGCGGGGCGTGTCTTTCGAATGCCCCACCTCCAGCATGCGCTCGTAGCCTTCCCCCACGCTTTCGCCTCGCATGCACGCTGGAAGCTTACGAGACGCCCAAGTGTTATCGAAGGTATCGAGTGCTCACGCCAGCAGCAGACAACGGAAAGACCTCCCTCCCGTTCCTATCCCGTCAGCGACTAGAGCAGGGGTGGCCAGGCTGGCCTGGCCTAAGAGCCGCAAACAAAACCACGGAGCTTCTCAGGGCCGTGGGGGGGGGGGGGGGGGGGGGGGGGCAAACTTAACTTTTGTTCAGAGTCTGACTGTACGTTTGGGGCACAAGGCTGCAAGACTGTACGTATGGGAGTACAAGGGGCTGCCAAACTGCAAGCTGCGGTGTGCTTTATTCTGAAATCCTTTCTTTTTTTTTTTTTTTCCTAAGGAAACGCGGAAAGGGGCGAGGGGGGGGGGGGGGGGGTCCCCTTACAAGGAATCCACGAGCCGCATTTGGACCAGCAAAGAGCCGCAGTTTGGCCACCCCTGGACTAGAGTAACACTGCGTCTGCTGGGGTTGGATGGGTTCACACTTGGCCCAAGGCGGCCAAAGACGGTTGATGAGAGGTGGGCACTGACCGTACGGCAAAGGAAGGCAGCACCTCGTGAGGGTTCCTGCGGTCTGACCAGAAGAAAAGCATGCGGTCGAAGAGGGGCTCGATGCACGCCACTTGGCTCTCCTGTCCCGACGGGAACATGCGCAGAAGTCCACCCTGCACCTGTTCGTTGAAAACGGTCATTGCGGCGGCGGGGGTCCGAAGATGAGGAGGCGCCAGCGCAATGCGAAGCAAGGACGTGCAATGTCTATATAATATTTATTCTAAAACGAGAAAAGAGGGGCTTGCGTCGCTACATTTTTTGTGTTACGGTTTTCTCGTTTTACAGACCGTGATGCAGGCGCTCGCGTAGAGACACAACTGCAAGTTACCATGGAAACAAATGAAGCAACACCTGGTTGCCGCGGTAACTTGCAGTCTTATCTCAACACAAGCTCCTTGTCCCGCAGTAATACGGAATCATAAATGTCCCTCGCGTTTCTCTGCTGTCTCTTCAGTCGTCGTTGAATCAGCAAATAACTTTGTTCATAGTGACGTGGGAATGAAACATTTACACAAAAAATATGTCGAAAAAATGATACTCAAAACAATACGGAGGAGATAAGACAACCTCAACACTCTCGTTGAAATTGAAAGAGTTTTTCGTTGCTTCTCTTTTGAGTGTTGTCTCCGTCTATTTTGTGCCTGCGCTGACAAACCCTCGTTAAATAAATCATACATTTCTTTTGCAAGGAATTTTTCTTGTAAAATGTTTTCAATGACTTTTCAAGTCATCAGAGTCACGGATAGGAGGGCCGGAAGAAGCCAGCCCAGCGAGCGACGTCTCACCTTGACGTCCCAACCTTTGTTGAGATAGTAAATGCTTGTGATGCAGCGCCCGTCCTGGTTGGGGTTATCCACATGCTTCACGTAGTGAGTGCCATTCCCGGGATAGCAGGCAATCATGGCCTGCCAAGGAGACCACACCACACTGATCAGAATGCTTCGTTGCAACTCACATTCATTGGTGCTGTGGGTATGTCTATACAAACCAAACTTAGTCTGCCTAAACGGGCGACGAGTCTCCCAGCTGTAGATGAGCAATGTAGCCAGTGCAGTACAACCGCTAGCCTGGGGTCTTTAACGTGCACCACGCAGTAGTGATACACAACTGCACGCCGATACACGATGCTCATCAAGATAGAGACGAGCAGGGGTGGGGATTGAGCCCAGGATCCCTGGGTTCTGCAGCACGAGCTTTCGCTCCACGTGCTCCGAGCTGGTGTGCGCTAGCCCACTCGGCCACCGACCCCCTTTATAAACGGCGGAGCCAGGATTTGAACTCTGGTCAGACATAAATTTTAATCACTAGACCGCCATAACAGTATCCCGAACAACAGACGAAAAATAGCTCAGTGCCCTCAGTTGGGTAACGACAACTCTGTCGAATTTCAGACATTAGTTTTGCCAGTATGCTGATTCTGGTTAAACATGCCATCTTTACGTTTGGAATCAATCTGTTCCTACCATGTCATTCAAGCCAAAGGGGCAAGAAGCACTTGCTTTGGGTATGATGCCTAGATCATGTCTTTGAAGTATGTTGGTTTTGTTTGCCTAGATGCGCAGGCCAGCGGTGGTCCAGCCAGTTTTGAGATTGGAGCAAAAAAATATTGTTTTGGAGCATCTTTGTATAAGAAAAAATCTCATTTGGAGCAGCTTTGGAGTAACATACACATAACTTGGGAGCAATTCAGTTCCCTAGAAGTGATATTTGCATATATTAATGTAATTACCACAGCAGAAAAAACTAAAAGTTAGCAGATCTACTGTACCAGCTAAATTGCCCTTTGGGGCTTTAAAGCTGTGCCATGAACTTAGTTAAATGTGAGCTTTGTTTTCATTAGTGCTAGTAAACAAAGGTTAGCAGGAGTGATGTAAGCATGCTTACTATCAAAATAGAAGAGCCAATGTAGAGTACCGATGGAACCCTCTAGATAATAAGGGATAAATTGGCACTATACAAAGTTTTCTCGCGTGACACGCAAGTCGGCAATTTCTGGGCCTCAACTCCTAAAGACCAAATGGTTTCTGACAAACATTTATGATGATGCTTCCAGACTACTTCTCACAGTGTAAACATTCAACGTCTGATCTGCTTTGTTCTTTCTCGGTCGTGATTGCTAGCAAGCACCCGAAAATCCAGTGTAGTGCACAGGAAATCAAAAGAAATATTTTGGGCTCCCTAATGCACAGCCGTTTTAACGAATAGGACGATCAACAATTCACATAATTTGACAAAAAGAAACAATTTGTAACAAAGCAGTCCCAACTGAGCACACTAACAAAATGGGAACTATGTGTCATACCAAACAGTGTGACACTTCTAAACATGCGCATGCAGGAAAATATATTTTCTATTGCCTGTTATTCTTCAGTGGTGCACCTCGAAATGCCAATAAAACCGTTCAAACTGCACTGCATTAGAGCAGTTGGTAAAATTTTTTTAAAACAATGCCACGCAGCCGGAAACATAACTTGGATTGAATTTATCAAATGGGCGCAAATGGCGTAACTGGACCACCCCTGGTCGGCACCAATCATGCTGCTCAAGCCTGAAAACTAAAGGCCCGTTCACACACTTGCATTTACTTAGGACCGAGTTCTTGCGATTTCTTGCGAACTCGTCGATGGCACGCTGGCGCCATCTACAAGGTGACAATGGAACTGTGTTTCACTAGAGCAAAGGTTTCACAGTATTCGTGACATCAAACGTATGCACTATCTATGAGATATGGTCATTCATAACATTGTCAAGAGTTTTTCAAGACAGAAAAGAAAGAATGGTGCGTGAAAATCAAAGGAAATATAAGGTAACTGCAAGTGTTCCGCAGCTACCCAATAGATAACACCAGTGTATTTTCTCGTCGTAATAAATTTGAAAAGGTTTTAAGGCACACGGTTGTAAGCAGTCACAAGTATGTGAAGCAGCCTTAAAAGAAAACAAAGTATCGTGGACCCTGATTTGATCCACATGTTGCTTCACGCGTGCAGCACCTTTGTCCTCTGGTTGATCTGGTATTGCGCCAGCAGTCCGGCACCCTGCATCCGGCAACAGCGGGTGATGATAGAGTCCAGGGTCCGCACGAGGAACCCGATGTAGGGGCAGCGGGGCTCCGTGCCGTCCACCCAGACGATGCGGTCGCCGCGGATGATCCGCTGCGACCCCTCCCTCTGGCTCACGAGCTGTCCGTCGCGGAACACACCACTGCCATAGAGCAACTTGACCTCGTCCAGCACGGCCGAGCCCCGCTCCGAGCCGAGGAAGTTGTCGATGACGCAGATGCCGTACTGATTAAGGTCGTGCACCACGTTGCGGCACATCTGCTGGATCCAGTTGGCCGTGGGCTGCCTGCTCGTGACGTCTTCGCCGGCTGCTGCGAGGAGGTGACAAGCCGACGTTGGACCACTTTCAAAGCTGGATTGAAATACTGGACTACCTCAGTGAGATTATGGAAATAAAATTCGTTAAGCTTCGAAGCCAACGTGAAAACGGGAATAAAAGTGTGAGCCATGGTTTCACATAGCCAGCCTTGCGCCTGCTGCATGAGTGGCAACTTCAGCAAACCCTGCGCTTCGAGCAGTCCTGAAATTGACTGATTCGGGAGTTCTCGATGACACTCGGCAAGTTTCTAATTGGAACCATGTGTTTATTTTCACTATAAGTAAAGTTTTAGGTAACTATTTTGCTAATCAGTATGCTTTTTTTTTTGTTGCAATTTTTTATGTCTGTTGTGGCTGGTAGTTTGCTCCTGAAAAGAGTTTCCACGTTTCTTCACATCACCAATTTTTACGGATATTCGAGTCTTTGCAGAAGCATCCATTATATAGTAGATGTGGACACCGCACACGTCGCAGCCGCCAGATAAAGTCCTCTCCTTGCCTTGGTGAGATCAAATGCACCAGGACCAGCACATGACTCTGCGCCAGCACATGACTCTTTGGTAAGCAGATAGTGATAGCCCGTTCTGGGGGCCGGAAACACAGCGTTTGCAGTGCTGTGCGTCATTACCTAGAGTATCTTACACCAGACTCATACGTAATCCCTTACAAGTAACGAAATTACTTGTAATCCCTTACATTTACTTCCTATTTAGTAATTTAGTAACGGAATAATTACATATTTGCTGGAGTGACTGTAAACCAATTTCTTTACATATTTACGTAACGGATTCGTTGTAATCTTTAACATTTTTTTCACAACCCCCCCCCCCCCCCCCCCCCCCCACACACAAAAAAAAAGGGGTTTTATTTCGGTAAAGTTGAGCGCAGTCCCACCGTCACGTGCATTGACCAGCGCAAAGGGAGGCTTGGCACACCTTCAGTTCCCTAAACCCTTCTTCACAACACCAAGCCCCTGAATCTATTTGAATCAATTAATTTTTTTTAGACCCCAACAACAATGTCAAAAAATCCAAATCGGTATTTAAAAAAAAAAAAAAAAAAGATAGATCTGGGGGGGGGGGGGGGGGGGGGGGGGGGGGGCAAGCTATATTCCCTTTTTTAGTCCCTTTGTTGTTTCTTTGCGATTGAAAATGGGCGAGGAGGGCACCAAGTTATTGTGTGCCTCTTCAAGAAGCTCGACGCGGTAAGTGCACAAACAAGAATTAACAATGTCCTTCTCGGTTATAGTGACTACGACCATTTTCATAATGTCACAACAGGAGAGAATGCTCCGTCTACCCTAAAATCCAGTAAAAGAGATGCGATGATATGTGAAGGTGTTATTGCCACAAGCATCCTCGTTCGTTGCTGCACACTTCTGATAGAAAACAAGATGTATTTTTTTCTGCTTCTTTTCACCTTATCTGACCTTGTTTTAAAGGGATACTACAACGAAATTTCGGCACTTATTTTTTGGTCTATACATGTTCAAAGGAGCAGTATCACACCAGACACACCAGCATCTTGTTAAAAAAGACACTAAAAGAAATTTTAAAACAAATTAAACAATTAGCAAAGGGCATCTGGTGGATGTCGCTAAAGCCTCGCTTGTGATGCCCATCTAGGAACCTTAACAGGTAGTGATGGTAACTGTCTCGCCTACCTGACGTCATCCCGATAGCTCTATGACCAACACAAGAGAGGGAGGAGGAACTCCCCGCTCAACAGGACCCTTTTTTGTGTGTCCCAGATGTCGCTATTCTCCCTCTACAAGATCATAGAAGATTAACCTGTCACTCAAAATTCACACAAAACCAGTTTTGCGGTTGGTTTCAAAATTCACACAAAACCAGAGCCGTATATTAGGAGAGTTTGGCCAGCTTATGATCTCGCCGCTGTAACGCCTCCCCCCAAGTGAGCATATCAGTCCGCATCCCAGAGTGAGAAGCGTGAGCGCACGGGCGTGAACTTCCGGCTGAGCAGAGAGGGCCGCCATTTCCATTCGTTCGCCCAGTGGAATGCATGGGAATGGCATCTAAATTTCGGTTATTTCCTTTTATATCGCTGACTCTGGCAAGAAAATTATATACTGTTATTCCTCGGTAGGTTAAAAAGCTAACAAATGAAGTTTTCTCTACGTCTGACCGCAAACCTTTATTTAGGCGAAAAAGAAGTCAGCCCGTAGCAGACGCGTAGCTTCAACAGTGGCTCTGTAGGGAAAGCGTGTCGCGTCAAAATGGCGGCCCATCTCCTCTTTGCTCCCTCCTTCCTCCCTCTCTCCTTCGGCACTCTCCTCCACCTTTCTCCTCTCCAGCGCCTTCGTCGCCGCACCTACTGGCCAGAATCTCCCAATATACGGCTCTGTCACTAGCGATGACATCTGGGAGGAGACGCAGGCCTCCTAGGATGCATTGCTCGTGCACTGCCAGTTCCCTGCTGTGGACTAAAGTTATGGCGGCATCACGCGAGCGCCGAACGCTTGGTGAGATCGGTCTATTTTGTTGTTCTTCAGGCCCTCACCGTCAGCTCCGCCCGAGCAGATGGGCTGGTCGAGACCCAGCGAGGACAGGGTGTCCTTCCACCAGGCTTGATTCACGGGGTCATTGGGGTCGTAGGATGCCATCCCTGCGATGTCGTCCGAGCCCATCGTCACGTCGTTGGCGGGTGGTGGTGCCACCGCTGGGGGTGGCACGGGTGGTGGTGGCGGAGGCAGTTGCTCCGCCTTGCACACGTGCTTGTGAGCGGCCCAGTGTTGACGCTGGTGTTCCTTGGAACAGTAGAAGGCACGGTGACATCGGGCGCAACGCCGCAAGTCCCGCACGCTCCCGCATAACTGGCAGTAGTAGAGCGGCGAGGCGGACAGCTCGTCCGACATGGCCCACCCGCCCGCTTGGTTGCTTGGTGTCTGTCAGATCCGACGGTCACGGCGGGCAGCTGAACTGGAGAGCGTTCGGAATTCCGACAGTACGGGCTGGCACGGCTGTCACCTTGTACCTTGTTGTGGAAGGGTGCAGATCGGACGAGAAGATCGCGATGTAGGCGGATTGGATTGGATTCTGGTGGCTAGTTGAGCTTTATTGCTAGTTCGGTAAATCCAACGGGCAAATCCTCGGAGAAAGGCAAAATAACGCGTAGTTTACGAACATAAATGTTTACCTGTAAATAAACTATACTTAACAGAGAAAACGAATTAAATTTTTTATAAAATCATTTTTGTAAGGTGGGAATTTAAATGCAAATCGTTCAAATCAGTTTTGCAATCCAAAGCTGGAGTCAGATTCGATCATCAATTTCGTTTTGCCGCGAGTTGTGTTTGTAGCTCGTCCGTCGGCATGTCGTCGTTTTCGCGAGGTGTCTGCCGATGCATGTTGGTAAACACTCGGCGCCTTCGAGTCCGGGATGTGAACAGCGTTCAGTGTCGAGGAGCGGCGTCCCAGGTCGGTGCCGCGCGCAGAGAGAAGCGCGGGGCCGGCGCCGATCATGGGAGCAAGCTGTCCGATGTCGACCCTCAGCTCCGCAACCTGTGCGAAAAGTTTCCGAAAACTTTCGGCCGGAGGACAGACCGCCCGGAAAACATTTACCATGTTCACAGCGTCGCCGTTGGTGAGCGCGCCACACCGTTTGTATCTACAAAAAACTCCCCTTAGTGTAAATCGGACCTGGTAGTGTTTGTACCTATCATCCATTTGACTCGGGAGATCGACGACGTCGTGGAATGGTTTCCCTGCTCAACACATCAATGATGAACTATCGTTTTTTGACGTAATATTACAAGATATGTCTAGGAGGTTCGGTGAACGACCTGAAAAATTAAGAGCGCAGTAGCTATCTGCGAGAACCATGCTTACTGTTCTTCAAAATAATCCCATTCGGACACAATGTGCTGAAAGCTTTAGAAAAAGTTTTTGTTGGTGTATCATCAGCAGCAATGTTGCACACGTGCCTGATGTCTGATGTCCTAGAAAATGATGACTCTTCAGTGGCATCGAGCTTGGGGAACTAGAAGCAACCTTCCTTAGCCAATTATGTGTATATGGCAGACAGGGCCGTAACCAGGGGAGGGGTTAGGGGGTTCTGACCCCCCCCCCCCCCCCCCCCCCCCCCCGAAATTTTTTTCTGGGTACGGCCCTGGTCGGTGCACTTGCAGCCAGCCGATTTTAATCTCCACCTCTGCGCACGCGCAGTGGCGCCGGTCGGCTACCGGGTACCAAACCGGGACCGGTTCTCCGGTTTGCTGTAAATCTCCATTATATGCCACCGATGCACATGATTCATAGGCGAAAATAAGACAATAGACACTTTCAAAATGGCCGCCGTTGTCCCCGAAAACCCCCCCCGAAATTTTTTTCTGGGTACGGCCCTGATGGCAGATGGATCAGTATTGCACCCTTTCTCTTTGTTTTGCAGTCGAGTGGTATAAAGTCACTGAGAAGTACATATATGCTTCATCCAATTTTATGCAGCCTAAACAAACACACAAAAGGTATGATAAGAGGACTATATCATGCAATTTATTAACACAATCGCTATACCACTCATCAGTCGCTTAAACCTTTTCTAACAACACTTGCATTCTCGTTATAAAGAAATGAATGCATTCAAATCAGATGGAGGTAGTGGGATGTGCTTATTAGGAACCATATAAATGTGCCGTCTACAGCATGCCTAGCCTAGCTGTACCGATATGTGACGCTTCAAAATGGCCGAATTGATCTTTGCTTGCAATGAAAAACACCGATAAATGATGTCTTAATGGCACCTATTACATAACCGGAGCTCATGTATCTTCGTAAAGTAGATGCAGCCTAGAATGTTTCTTCCTAATATTGAACTTTTTTTTCTTTTTTCTACTTATCTTTGAAGGCATGCTGATGGAAAGCATTGGCACCATGGCTGACTTGGACGATGCGGTCCTTTTCGAAGCAAATCCTGGTCCCGGTATCTTGACCAGGTGCCTTCTCAAGTCGGGTGTTCCACATCTCAGGGTCTTCGAGAAGAACCCGCTGTTTTTGAAAGAGCTCGAGGTAGGTTTTTACCCTTCTTTAATGGTCTCTCCTAAGCTATAGTTGAACATTTTAGATCAAAACATCTTAGAAATCGACGATCAGCACAAATAAATTAGCGAGAAATTGACTTATTGGAAGCTTTGCAGGGAGCACCTGCATTAGTATCTGTTTGATAAGTGGCGTCACCACGGACCCCGAGCCATGTGGGTTTGCCCACCCACGTCTGGCTGTGCATGGCTTTCCCATATCCAGGGAAAGAGGTCATCCCGGTGGTTGAGCCGAGTCCGGGGTAGGGTTTGTACCCTCCTGGGCCCCCCCGGGTGAGGCAATACACCACTTTGGCCCCCGCTTGTCGTAGACGGGTGTCCTGGCTTGGCCCGATCAGGATGATTTAGTCAGTCGCCTTTTTCTACTCTCCTACCTTTGCCTTTTCTTTCTTTCTGCCTTTCTTTCCTATATCACCTTCTTTGGCGGCAAGGGTTATAGTGTCGAGACCGGTTGTTACGAAGTCGGGTATAACGAAATAGAGGATATAGCGAAGTGATTTCCGATTCCCGTTGACTTCGTTATAACGGGTCTCAACAGTACCTCAGATGGCGACAGAGCTCTCTCTCTTGATCCACACTCGGTTATAGCATCCTGGTAGCACTGGTCGATAAATATACTCAAACAAGCCAGACCTGTTATGAGATGCTACCTATCCTTTTGGTGGTGGGTAGTGCGCCACAGATGCTGAAGTTTCTGGCCTTCAAATGGGTTTTTAACAAAAAAAACTTTCTTGATCGGCCCCTGAAAAGGGTCTGCACCGAAGTCCAAGCTACAAAGAAGACACCACTTACACCTGGTAGATTTCTAAAGTTTTTGGTTCTTCATATTTAACTGACAAACAGCTTTCGAAATTATCCCCATTCCTTGTTGCAAAAACACTCGAAGGCGTTGTCGGCAAGAAAGTTAAAGCCAAGAAAATGCCATCCGGTGACCTGCTTGTTGAAATCGAATCGAGCGAGCAGTGCTGCTCTCCTTGCCTTGAATTCTATAGCTGATCATGAAGTCACGGTCACGCCTTAAAGCTCCCTGAACACAATTCAAGGAGTTATTTCTGAGGATGACTTTCTTGAGACCTCAGACAGCGAAGCAGTTAAGGGCCTTTCTGACCAAGGATAGCTCGCAAGGCTCATCTCCTTGCATCGTGGCGGCCAGGAGCGCAAAATTAAGCATGTAGCATTAGCTTCTCAATCCACCACACTTTTTGAGGCAGTAAAGGCTAGGTACCTGCACTGCAGGGAGACCCTCGGAGATGCTTCAACTGCCAGAGGTTTAGCGACGGCTCCTGGAACTACCGTGGCAAATCCACGTGTGCCAAGTGTGGTGAGGGTGACCATCCAACAGACTCCTGTTCTAATGAAGCCCACTGTGTCAACTGTAATGACCCCACCCAGCATATTTACGATCCTGTAAAACATAGAAAGAAGAAAAAAAACACTCTTACCTCGAAAGTAAAGGAAAACTTGTCTACGGAAAGGCGAATATGCACAAGTGATGCAGCGGGGACCTGCACCACCGAAGCTGGCAGTGGCTACTCAGACATCCTTTTTGGATTAAGAAAAGCCCCTGCAGTCCCCCACACCCAAGCTGGAGATTCAGCTTCCCAGGCATGCAGTCTCGGCTGGTTGGTCTACTGACCTCCCCCCCCCCCCCCACATCGCCAGGAGAGTCGCAACTCTGGCTTGTCTACTTCGTTTGTACTCCTCTCTTGTACGATCGCACCTTGATTATGGTGCTATTGTGTATGCATCTGCTTTGAAGATGCTTGATCCCGTGCGTCACCTTGGATTGCGTCTGGCTACCGGTGCTTTTCATACATCTCCTGTTTTAAGCCTGTATGGTGACTCCAGTGAGATGTCACTTGAAGAAAAGGTGGCAGTTCTTATGTCTTGTTTACGCTAACAATGTTTTATGAGACCCTAGTCATCCAGCTCACAGTTGCATTCGAGAATCTAAGTTTCGTCGTACATTTGACGATAAACCAACTGTTGTTCGACCCTTGAGTCTTCGTTTCGAGAACCTCCGTCTCTTTTCTAACCGGCCTCGTGAGGGTGTCCATTTCCTAGAAAGTGCAAGTCATAGTGCTCCATGGGACGTCAAGCCCAGAGCTTGTGATTGGATATTTTACAAAATTTAATAAACTTAATGTCTTCCCACTCATTGTACAACAGGAATTCTTAGCTCTGCAAGAAAAATACAAGCATTACTGCCGGTTTTACTTTGACGACGCCAAGTCCTCAATGTATTTTTGCTCCGCTGTTTATTCAAATTCGTTAACCCATGTGACTCGGCTGAACAATGTCGCCAGCATTTTCACTGTCGAATTGTATGATGTCATGGCAGCACTTGACTATGTAATCGGGAGCAAAGTGATTGAAGCCATCCTTTTTGTAGACTCTCATAGTGTTCTTACTGCAGTGTGTTCTGTTACGTCAACCAAGAATAAGTTGACTCAACTCGTACGGGCCAAGGTTCAACAGGGACTCGCGGGTGGGAATGACATTAAATTTTGCTCGATCCCAAGCCATGTGGTCATCACAGGCAACGAGGCTGCAGATAGACTAGCCGCCTCTTCACAGAACCTTTTACCATCGAATGTCCGCATACTTTACCAGGACCTTAAGATGCTCATAAGAGTTTCACTTTTACGACTATTATGGCAATCTGAAAGGAACTTAGCCAATAATAACAAGCTTCGTGCCGTCAAACCGGAACGTGGTGCCTGGGAAACCTCCTATAAAAACAATTGCTTCCACGAAGTCCTCCTGTGCCGCTTAAGGATCGGCCACTCGTTCCTTACTCAGCAAAACCTGCTTATAGGTGAGGAACTGCCGGTGTGCAAGCACTGTGGAGAAACTTTATTTGTTCTACTTGTTCTCTTTCTTTGCCGTGACCTTCTAGAGCGACACAAGTCCTATTTCCCCGAGTTTTGCAAGTATAACAACCCATTTCACCCTATCATGGTTCTAGGGAAGCAGCCTCTCATATCAATTGAACGCCTCTTATTCTTTCTCAAAACTACAGGTATTTTGTGCGAGGCGTGAAGCCGTTCCCTCTCCTTTTTTGAAAAATATTATCGTCCGTTCAATATATCGTTGTAGAAGTGATGTTTGTAGCATCCCTTTGTACGCTTTTACCGCCGTGCTTTGTGGAGTCCAGATTTCGGTTCAGCATTGCTTTAAGCCTGAAAACGATGGGCTAATAACAGTATAAATACTAGCGAATGACAGTCTAAGACGCACAATGCTTTGTCCTCTACAAGGGGCTGAAGCAGAGGTACCCGTCCCAGCTGGAGGTGGTGGAGGAAGACCTCCTTCGGTTGCCGACCCTCCAGGCCTGCGACAGCTACGGCATCACCTCGAGGGTGGACGCACTTCTCAGAGGGCTGCCACCGCAGGCGTGGAAAGAGCGTGAGTTGAGCAAATGGTGACGCCCTCTTCGAAACCAAAGTGCCCACATCATATCCAAAATAGCCAGATCCGCCAAGTGTACTCTAAAGGCCGGTTCGCACATTTACCTTTGTGTATGTGAACTACTGTGTTGCATCCGCTTGTGGCTGCTTACGACGAGATAATGTGTGCTTGTGCCGTCTACGGGGTAACCCTGGAACACCTCTGGTCTGCATAGATTTCCTAGTGTTTATGCATCATTTTTTAACCATGGGCTCAAATTAATTCTGACAGTCTCATAAGTGACCATTTCTCGCAGTGCATAGATTTGATGTCACAAATTCTGCAAAACCTTCAGTCTGCCATAAAATCTCGAGAGATAGCCCACCTAACATCAGAGCAAATCGGCTGAAAATATGAAGTGGGCTATCTTTCGGTGTTTAAAAAATATAACAAATCATGCCAAAAATAGGGGTGGGCTATCCTTTTGGGGTGGGGCATTTTTCTGGATTTTATGGTAGCTACAGGGCTTTGCTGCCATTATGCCATTGTGTTTCCTCATCATAAGCAGCCACAAGCGCCTGCAACACTGTCAGTCACAAACCAGCCTTTACTGATGGGTTTATGTGGTTTGGCTACTCCGCGTAACGGAGGAACAAAGAGTACATGTGGTACTCTGCACAATGCTCAGCATTTGTTTGATGAAGTGCACAGCATGATTTCTGTTTGAAATGTTCCATGTTGTGGAAGAGAATACTCTACAGGGTATTGTCTAGTTTGTTGCCACTATGGGTAAAGTACTGTTTCAAGTATCCAACAGGGGTTTTCTTGCGGGGGTTTGATTGTGCTAGATACAATTTGGTAGGCAGTGGCCAAGTGTAAAAAAAAGAAAGGAGGTCTATTAAGACAAAATGAACCTTACAAGCTTGTTCTTGGCATGAGCCCTGTTTTGATGCTACCTTTTATCTTTATGTCCCGTCACTACTGAACGAGATTGTGCAGATACAACCTTCGTAACTGTCAGATATGTGCCAGAAAGCTTAGCAGATATGTGTCCCATTGATGAGTAGAGTCCATTGAATACAGTTTCATCTTAGATCAAAGTCTGTGTCACAGGGCATCCTCCATAGTGTGCATGCACCATACACCCACGGCACTTTTGCTAGTGGAGTTTTTGAAAGATGGTCAGCTGCATAGCGAGTGGTTGCGTTGACCCTGCAGCGCCCTGCCTTCTGGTGATAGCGAGCCTGTCGCGCAAGCGGGAGCTGAGCTTCCTCCGCTTCCTGCTGCACATGCTTCCGCAGAGGGCCTCCCTGTTTGCCATTGGACGCATCGACTTCCTCCTCTTCCTCACGGAAACCGAGTACACCGTGAGTTTGGATTCGTGAAGGGTCCTGTCCCCAGCGATGGAGGCAGTGCAGGGGGTAGGCTTGTGGGGCTTCATCCGCTCCCCTCCCCCCTCTCCACACCCTGAATCCAGCCACCTCAGCCCCCTCTCCCCTCCCTTGAAAACGATTCCTGGCTACGCCGCTGTACGGAGGCTGGGCGTCTCGAGTCAAGGCTGGTTCACTCGCCTGCGATTGCTTACGACTGAGTGCCTTAAAACTTCTTGGGGTCTCTTACGACAAAGGGATCTCACTGGTGCCACCTACGTATCAGGGGAGCCGTAGAACACCTGTCATGTCCGTATATTTTTAATTTCAATCTTTCATCCTTTTCTTAAAATTGGCTCAAAACACTTTTCACGTCATTATAAACAACAATTTCTCATAGATAGTATATGTACATTTGATCTTGCAAATAGTGCAAAAACCTTTGCTCTAGTGAAGGGTCCCCTTATAGATCAAGCAACTGTGTTCTCTCATTGTAAAAGATTACGAGAACTCGTTTGTAAGAGAATGCAGGTGTGTGAATGGGCCTTCACTCTAAATTCTTAGTAGGTCTTCATTGATAGTTTTCATCTCTTGTCTTTCAGTACCTTAGTGCATCAAATTCTGACCACAATTTCAAGAAGTACCGGGACGTGAGCATCCTCTACAAGTTGTTCTTTGACATTGAAGTGTTGGGAAAGGTATGTGTGTTATGTTCCTTGTTGTGTGATCTGCCTTGCTCAGTTGGTAATCGATTTGATGCGCAACAAACATGCAGGCACCGAGATATGTATAGGGCGTCTTCATTGGATCTTAGAACAGTTAAAGAAGCCAGAAACATTTGTGCCTGGACATTGAAATTGAGCTCACAGTATCACAGAATGTGCATTTTACCCGTGGAAATCTTCAGCTGTAGCCGCATTCCTGCGAAAAATGCAACCAACCCAATTGCCAGCGTCCACGGCGGATGTGTATGCAGACGACAGAATTAGCAATGGCACTAACTCGCAATTAAATCGAAAAGCTGTTTTTAATGTTCATGAACTTTCTTTTTTGGGTCATCGTTTGTCTGCAGAAGGCATAGCACCCCTTCCGTCGAAGATAGACGCAGTCCTCAACTTTCCAGAGCCAACAGAACCTTCACAATTGAAGGCCTTTTTGGGTCTTGTAGAGTATTATAGTAAGTTTCTTCCACATTGTGCCACGGTCGTTGAACCCCTTCGTCGTCTTCTAAGCAAGGGTGTATCTTATGTCTGGTCCCCTGATGTAGCTGTTAGTTTCAAAAATATCAAGTCCTGCATTCAGCAGGCACCAATACTCTCTATGTTCGACCCTACCATTCCTGTCATAGTCTCAACCGACGCCTCTAATTACGGTTTAGGGGCTGTTCTCCAACAACAACACGGACGACAGCTGAAAACCGTTGCGTTCGCGTCCCGTTCTCTCACGGAGGCTGAACGAAAGTATTCTACTGGCGAAAAGGAAGCTCTGGCAATACTGTGGGCTTGTGAAAAATGGCATGTTTATTTGTGGGGTCGGCAGTTCACCATCCGTACTGACCATCAAGCACTTGTCACCCTGATGACAACTCAAGGAACTGGCGTCCGGCCTCATCGTATCAGCCGTTGGGTTGCCAGACTTTTTAATTATAATTTTATCATGGAATTTCAGAAAGGCAGCAACAATCTCGTCGCAGACGCTTTGTCTCGCCTTCCAGTATCAGATACAGAGAACGGCACAGTTTTTAAAGAAGAGGTCGTTTCTATCATCTGTGCTTGCCTTAAGGCAAGACACTGGTTCTAAAATCGATTTTTTTGTTTATTAATGGATTATAATGAAAATTAGTGTGTATATGTGTTTTGGCTTCCTCTTATCAAATATACAATTAGTTCTGCAATATCTCAACTACTTTTTGGGTTACGAAGAAAATAATGAAGCCTAATTAGGTCATTTCTTACGACTCATTAAGGAACTTTCTAATACGAATTTTTTTGCATAAGTGATATGGATTTGTAGATAAAGACCTGTCATGCAAGATGATGCTATTTATATTTTTGTAAAGATAGATCATTGTATAAAACTAGTCTAATTAGGTCAAGTACACTATTTACAAAGCTTAACGAGGTCACATTATCACTAATAATAAAATTTCGGGCCCAAACTGTCATACAAAAATAGCATCACCCTGCAGTTCACTTCTTTCTGAATTCAAGGGTATAAAGTTTATAGAAATCCTCGAAGAATAATCTCATGAAAACAACCGTAAGGCTAGGCATGTAGACGAAAAATGCGAAGCTGAGAAAATTGCAGTTGAAGTTTTGACACTCACTGCATAAAATTGAGTAAGGGATTCCATGCAATAATGTTCAGTAATATGAAGCATAGTTCTATCTCAACAAATTGAGATGAAAAATTCTGCAGTCCGTTCACAAGAACCTTTAAAAAATAATATAAAACTGAGAAATAATGCCTGCAATGTAAAATAAAGTTATAAAAGAATGAGTAGACTCTATAAGGGACAACGGGAGGAGGCACCAAGGGTTGCACGTTCCGAAAGCAGATTTTGTTTGGCCCTGAAAAGGGCCTTTGTTCGTGTAGCACTTGAAAGGGGAGCCCCTCACAGCTGTCCAGGACTGTAGTCCCCAGCTGTTCCAGTTTGGTGTTGCCTGGAGAACCTCTGCTTTGGATTGCTGCTGCTCTGGTGGGCAGCGTTGGCCTTACGCAAACGCAGATTGTCCTTCTCCATGCTTTGAGAGCTTTCATGTCCACTACAATGAACTGTGTCCCAGCGTCGCGCGTCTGGCCTCCTGTGGTGACGCCGAGGTCGAATTTGCGCTGGGTCGCCGACTTTTCCGATAGCGCACGCTTGCATTCGTCCGATCGTGCGACTCGTTGCGCCTGCTCGGCCGTGGAGTAGTATGCGGTGTCGACACGAACTGCGCTCGCAAAGTTCAACAAACTGCCGCTGCTGCATGGAGTCGCGATGCCTCCGGCTGATGTTTCCGGAAGATCCAAGGCATCCGGCGGTGCCGATCGCGGTGGCGCACTTGCAGCAGACAGCTTCAGCTTCTTGTTCCACGGTCGCTTCCTCTTCCTTCCGAACGCTTGCCGCGTGCTCGATTTCAACTGAGCGTCGTCCGGCATCTCGAGAACTCGAAGCGAAACAAAACAAAACGCGCGACTTCGTAGGAAAACGAACCAACAATATTCAACGCAAGCGCGCAAACGGGAACTAAAACGTGCGCTCGACCACTGAGGAAACAAAGCAGACAGGCCTAAGGAGACGGGCAGAGACGGGCCCAGGAGCAGACGACGCACCTCTCGCCAGCGCGGGAACGGAAAGGAGGAAAGGAGAAAAAGAGCGGAGGGGCGCGTTTAGGCCAATAGCAGGGGCGCTAGGCGCCGCGCGTGCTCTGACGTACGGGCACCTTGCTAGCCGGCCAATGAGCGATCGCAATTGGGGCCTTCGAAACCCGCGGAATGCGGACGTTCCCCGATGTTGTCGCGATAACGAATGGCATGGGGACGTGGGGAAAATAAGCGGCTTTCCAACAAGACCAAGATGGCCGCAATCCGACGAGCGATCGCGAAACGCGCGGGGTGCGAAGTTTCACTTGTTTTCATTGAACTCGCTGTGTCAGGGCTCTGCGGGGACATCGTAAATATCATTTTTTTCATGCTTAGACATTGAATTCGACATTGAAACTTTGCAGGCAGGTACCTTAGACTACAATTAATCCAAATAGGTGAAATTTGAAAAACGTGAAATTTCGCGTTTTTTGACCATTTTAAGACCCGCGTCTCCCCTTAACCAGAAGGATTTCCAAGAAGCAACTGCTAGAGATCCCGTGCTCCCTCAAGTTATGGCGTTTATTTCTTCATCATGGCCAGAGCATAACAAGCTGTCTTCAGAGCTGAAGTCATACTTTTCCGTTCGCGAGCAGCTTTCCGTGATCGATGGACTTCTCTTTCAAGGAGAGAAAATCGTAGTTCCATCTAGCCTTCGGAATCAAGTGATTGAGGTTGGTCACGAAACGCATCAAGGAATTTCGAGGACCACAAGCCTTATTAAAGAACTTTACTGGTCTGCCAAGCGACCGACAAGCCAGCTAAGTCATCTCCCGCGCCTCTGCAGCCGGTAGAGTTTCCATTACATCCTTGGACCAAGCTTGGCATAGATATCGTCGGCCCATTCGAGCAGGCACCTGCCAAGGAACGATTTTTCATCACTGTAGTGGATTACCACAGCAAATGGCCGGAAGTGGCAGCTGTCTCCAGTGTCACGACTGGTTCGGTCATCAGTTTCCTGAAGTCGATTTTTTCTCGTGAGGGACTACCCCAGGAGATTACCAGCGATAACGGACCTCAATTTACTTCAAAGGAATTTTCACAGTTCCTCGAGACAAATGGAATAAAACACACCAAATCTGCGTTATACCACCCGCAAGCGAATGGTCAAGTGGAAAGATTTAACAAAGTTCTGAAATCTACTATTCAGTTGGCCCTTGTACAACAGCGTTCTATATACGACACAATCATTGAGTATCTTGGTGTATATAGAAGCACACGCCATGCTGCCACGGGAGAAACCCCAGCTTTTCTCTTACATGGTCGCAATCATCGTACACGTTTGCACCTTCAAGGAAGGAATACCAATGAGCCTTCAATCCCACAGGTCGAAGTTCGACAGGGGTTACCGAATAGGGTCCAGGTATATCAGAAAAAAATGAAGCAGTACTCGTGACTCACGCAGAGCCGTGAAGGTTCCATCTTTTGCACCTGGAGATTTTGTAAAGATTTTCAAGTCAAAACGAAAAGGCAAAATGCGACATAAATATTCAACTCCGCAGGAGATCCGTGAAAGGATTGGTCCGTCTACATACAAACTCGACGATGGAACAACGTGGAACGCTGAAAGGCTCACTCGAACAACGCTGCAGCCTTCGAAGAAGTATTCTTGGGTTCTAGAGGACAATATTTTCCCCCAATCTCCCTCACCCCTTGCAGTAAATGTTCCTGGCTGCCCTCCTCGTGGGGTTCCTGAGGTTCCTGGTTCAGCGGTTCCACGTGCTCAGGTTCCTGGTGCCACTGGGTTCGGCTTCATGGCGCCAGATGTTCATGGTCGTGGCCCATCCCCGCCACGTGCTTCTCCGCCATGCATTGACGGAGCTGTTCGCCACCTTCTTGGGCCTGCAAACCCGACTCCTGTTTCATCTAATGGTCCAAGTTCTTCACTGCTTGGACTTGGGTACTGCAGCTCTGATCAGAAATACTACAACCACCTCCCGATAGGTACAGCAAGCAGACGAAAAAAGGCGTCATCTGCTCGCTGTGTCTATCGGGTTACGATGCCACAAGTCACAGACATCGCTAACTCGGTCGTCTGCGAACACACCCCGTTCGATCCTGGCGAGTGTGTTGGTTTTCTTTAAAAAGGGAGCTACGCCTCGAAATTTTACCAGGTTAAATTCGCCACTTACCTGCGCATTCTGTCAAAGTTCAAGCTTTCTGTGTGCAGGCGCTCATTTGTCCAACTCGTTTTATAGTACTAGGATTCACTGTAGACACTTTATATTCTTGGCTTGAAGTGTTACATGAAAAGATGCTTCTTGCAACTCGGAAGTGACGACGACGAGACTGCATCCATAAAAAAGTGAAAGCCTCGTTGTTTGCAGGTGCCACGGGCTCTGTTTCTTCCTCTCCCTCAGAAGGAGGGAAAGACGCCAGATCAGGTGATACTCCTGTTTTTTTTCTCGACAATGTTGGAACATGTTTGAGAAACTTTGGCTTCGTTCGTAGCAAATCAAAAGAATAACAAGGACAGCCGAATGCTAACCATATTTACATTTTCGAGATGTAAACATTTTAGCTCGAAGCATTACTACTATTCTAAATAGGGTAGAACGATTAAACCTTCAGAAAGCGTTACCGAGACAATACTCTTCATCTCCACACCTGCTTGTTGTTTCCACGAGAAGCCAGCTGCTGAATGTAAATATCTGACAGTTGTTTCAAACTTTTAATACTGTTAATTGATAATGCCTTTTAACATCAGGTGCTCAAGCTTTTCATTATCACAGCTAGGTTCCCCTAGCTTCCTGTGATTCATGGTTTGTTAATCTAACAGGAAATATTTCTCGAAACTTTTGTCTGCAGCACATCTCCTGCGTTCACTGGTGCTTCTACGAAGGATCCGAAAATTCCTAAATTAATTTTAAAAATTCCAAAAAGGTACTATGAAAGTCCATGCCTACTGCACGCATCGACGAAATGATGCAGTTCTCATATAAAAAGGGTGGCACGACAGCAACAGTGCAGTATTGTAGGGACAGAGGACAGATTGTTCTAGAAGAGTAAAGGGAGGCAAGAACTCAATGAATTGGAGGAAAGAAGCGATTCCTTTTTGTATCATTATTGTATATGCGTAGTCGTTTATGGTATGGTGACCGTAACGCGTCTCAGACGGGTGTGTCCGGCGTCGCATACCGTTAGTGCACCGAAAGTGGTCCCAAAGTGGCATCAAACACGTCGTAGGAGCCGGCGCGTCAGCGCTGTCAAATTTCGCGATCCTGGTGCTTGGTCGTAAGAGTTTGGGCAAAACATACGAGTGAACAAAAGTGTTGCTGTCATCGCCGTGTCCCAACTTCTGGTTGCTGAAGCTTCCATGAACTGTCGATGTCAAGCTGGAGGCAATCTACAGCAGAACAGGCAGGGGGTGGAATCGGTGGCCAAGTGTGTCAGCGCACTGCAGCTTGGAGCACGCGGAGCAAGAGCTTTCACGACAGAACCCAGGGATCCTGGGTTCATATGCCCAGCCGCGCACTTCTGATTTGGACGAGCATTGTACCGGCATGTGGTCGTATATCACCACTGCCTGAAGCGTATTAAAGACCCCAGGCTCGCAGTGGTACTGCAATGGCTACATTTCTCATCTACAGCGTAAACCAGTGTCTCTGCACCGTGAGGGCCTTATGCCTTACTAACCTTATGCTGCATAAACACACTTTTTTTTTTTTTTGCTTAGCAGAACAGGCATTTTCTACATCCAGCACTGCTGCTGTAACACCGCTAGGATCACGGTCACCAACGACATTACAATTCTACGACGTCATCAGGCGGAAATCGACGGACCACTTTCTGGGACGCGGTAAATACACCAGTCGGAGACGCATTCTGGGCATCATATTAATGGGCACAGAAATGACTGGATTGGACGAGATTAGATCATGTTGGCTATTCCGTTTGCAACGAGTAAAAAGCTGCACCAGCCAAAAGTAACTTCGTTGTAACTACTTCACTTCTTGCTCCGACGCCACCAGTCCTCTAGTCTCCTCATTCCGCTTCTGAAGCAATGATGATGATGATACTCATTATCGTCATCATCGTTGTGCACCTCCACTGGCAGAGGATGTGCAATGGCCAACAGATGCACCTGGTTCATCTGAGTCCTCGAAGTGACCTCTTCGACATCCTTGATCCTCCGGAGCGGCTCCAGGAACTGGTGTTCTTCATCCGGCAGAATATGGTCAAGCGCAGCGCCTACATCATCCCCACCCTTGAGTGAGCTTTTGTACCAGAGCTTCGCATGCAAAGGCCACGCTAAAGACGGGAGCCATTTCAACGGCTTGTTCACACACTTAAAGAGAAGATGGGGCACTTCTACATTTGAGAAAAAATGCTTGAAGTGCGTTCATTTGGCCTTTAGAATAACAAATATCAAAATTATATTTCAATGCGACGCGCCGGAGAGCCACAAGAGCAATTTCAAAATAGGGCTGAAGCCCCGCCTCCCTAGCCTTGGGCAGCCAAAAGAGCTGTCGATGACGTCACGGACAGCGACTGTCTTTCGCGTTTTTCTCGCGTTTCGCGTTTCGGTATTCGGGTTCATGGGGTAAAAATACACTAGAATTCACTTCTAACTCATTTTTGTCAGGAAGCTCCGTAGCTTCCCTTTAAGTTTGTTTAGGACCGGTTTATTGATATCTCTTACGACGAGAGAACATACCGGTGCCATCTATGAAACTGCATTTCACTAGGTTCTGTGCCATTTGCAAGATCAAATGTACATACCGTATTTACTCGCACAATGAACGCACTCGAGTAATGAACGCACCCCCCAAGTCGGCTCTCAAAATTTCAACTTTTTTTTCACTCGCGTGATAAACGCACCCCCAACTCGGACGTCAAAATTTTGACCCCCTTTTCACTCGCGAAATGAAAGCACTTTTCTCTCCTAGTGCAGCGAGGTCGCGAATGCATGGGCAGCGTGGGCGAACAAAACGCCTTGCAAGAGGCGTTAAAAAAATTCGCAAAGATCCAACGGAAGCAAGAAAAAGAAAAGTGGAGAGGAGCTTTTTTTTTTGTGCACATCGCAGCCTGGACTTTGTGTTGTGGACTTTGGGTTCGCGCGCCGCCGCGCGCAAGGAGGTAAGAAAGAGAAGCGGAGAAGCGCTCTAAGCGAACGAAACAGCTTGCGAAAAACGGCAAAAAAGAAAAAACAAAAAAAAAAAACACGGAACTAAAAAAAAAAGAAAAACAAAAAAAAAACTTTTCTTTTTTTTTTTTTTTTTTTGCACAGCGCAGTTTGGTTACGGGGGGTCGCGAGCCGCGCGCAATGAGGTAAGAAAGAGGAGCGGAGAAGCCCTCTAATGGCGAATTCGGGTGGTCAATCGCCGGCAACTTATTTTGCCGGAAAACCGGCAATAGTGTTCGCGTGGTCAGTTTCCGGCCGGCGCGCACCGTTCTGGTGGTGGTTCTCCGGCAAGCACCGGCAACTTTCCGGCGCTTTTTCCGCCCGAGCTCCGAACGGCCGGGCGAGTAGCTAGGCGCCAGACTGTATCCGGTGTCGTCACTTCCGAAATGAGAGAGAATGTCAGTGAGAAAAAAAAAATGAACGAAAGAACGAAATTGATTGGAAATAACTTTTGCAGCCGCTACGAAAGTCAATTCAAGTCGTTGGGACATGAGTGACGGCGATGAAGGCTCTCGCTAGCGGTGTCGCGCGGGCAAGAGGCGAAGTAAACTGCCACCGTCTGGCGTTTCGTGTTCGGGTGGTGAGGGTCACGTGGTGTGCCGCCGGCGCGTTTCTGTTTGCCGGTTCTGCCGGCTTGTTCTCGCCGGCGACTGACCACCCGAATTCGCCACTAAGCAGACGAAACAGCTTGCAAAAGGCGGCAAAAAAATAAAAACAAACAAAAAACACGGAACTGAGGAAAAAAAACAAAAAAAAAGAGGAGCTTTTTTTTTTTTTTGGCACAGTGCAGTTTGGTTACAGGGGTCGTGCATCTCGCGAAAGGAGATAAGAAAAATAAGCGGAGAGCCCTCGCCTAAGCAACGCCTAAGCAAACAAAACAGCTTGCTAGAGGCGGCAAAAAACCCAGGGAACTAAGAGAAACAAAAAACAGTTTTTTTAAACTAATGAAAAAACGGTTTTTAACCGTTTTTTCATTAGTTTTTTTGTGTTTTTTTTTTTTGCACAGCTTAGTTTGGTTACGGGGTCGCGCGCCGCGCGCAGAGAGATAAGAAGTTACTTCGATTTTTCAGGATAAAAGGTCCGTTCATTATGCGAGTAAATACGGACGCAAAAATTTTACTTCGCGTAATGAACGCCCCCCCCCCCCCCCCCCCAACTTTGCATCGATTTTTCGGGAAAAAAAAGTGCGTTCATTTTGCGAGTAAATACGGTATATCTATTAAATATGATCGTTTATAACAATGTCAATAGCTTTTCAGGCAAAAAAAATGATGCACAAAAAAAAAGGAAATATACCTTGATAAAATGGAAACTTGGGCGAGTTGGTGATTCATACCCGAAGGTAACAGCGCCAGATCAATCGCACAGTACAACACACACTGCGTGTGTTTGTCCTTCTGTGTGTCGTATTGTGTGATTGATCTAAAGCTGTTACCTTAAGATAGGAAATATACAGAAATCGTAAGTGTTCCACGGCTACCCGATAGATGGTGCCAGCGTGCTCTCTCGTCATAAAAGAGCACAAGAGGTCGGAAGCCGTCGCAAGTGTGTGAACCCCGGTCGAAAACGAAACCAAAATGAATGACCGGTATCGCTTAGTGGAACGAAATATGATCACAGTTGAAATATTACGTTGAAATATTCCTAAAAATTATTTTAAAGATGCGACCAACTGCCGAGGCCTTTCTCTATCACCAGGCCATGAAGATGGTCGCCAGGCAGATCTTTGGGGGACCGGGCAAAATAACTAAAAACCTCACCCTCCGCCTCTTCCCCATAACCAGGAAGGGACCAATTTTCCTCTGGTCGAACCTTGTTGTTGCCACCTAACACCCGACCGACTGGGACAGGGTTGAGACTCTGGGCCGGAGCCACACACGAGGGAGTCCCAATTTCCCTCTGTCCCGCCTGTCCCCCAGTTGTGCTAGTTAGTTGTACTTAGTTCAATTTTCTCTAGATTTCCATCAGCACTACAATCTCCTCTTCATTGCCTCTACTTTTTAGAGCGCAGCTCTGAGGCGCCTGTTTCCGGCTTGAGCGGCGTCGGCGTAACCGCGCGTTGCATTATGGGACGTTTCCCGTAAGGACGTCACACGTTACATCACGAGGGTCATTCGTGACGTCACCGCGCGTTGCATCATGGGTACATTTCCCCGCTAAATTTAACGAAAAAATTTCGCCACTAATTTTAGTGGAAATATTTCCCCGATAAATTTAGCGGAAAAAATTCATGCTAAATGTAGTAGTAGAAAAATTTCCCGGCTAAATTTTGCGGAAAACAATTTCCCGCTAAATTTAGCGGAAAAATTTTCCCGCTAAATTCAGCGGAAAAAATTTCCTGCCAAGTTTAGCGGGAAAATGTTCCTGCTAATTTTAGCGGGGAAATTTTTCCGCTAAATTTAACGAAACCGGTGCAACCAACAGCGCAGTCAAGGCTACGGCGTGAGCGAAGCCAACATTGAGCTAAACTTTATCACCACTGTAGCTTGTTTTGGGTTCTCCGGGCAAGCGTAACGGGTGACGTCAGCAACGTTTCCTTTCGGCACGAGTAGATCGTTTTTCTCCTCCGCTACGGTTTCTGCAAAGAAAACGTCGCAGATGCGCATGCGCGCCGCCAGCCTTGTCTGCATAGTTCAAGGTCTTTTGGCGGATTAGCGGGCTGCGGGAACGGTCTACTAAAACTCCCTAACGGAGTTTCGCCCTCATTACGGACACGTATACGTGCGCAGACTGATGCCGCAGTTGTGCAGACGTCGTCGAATGTCGCAGACACCAAAACGTGGCGAAGAGTGCGGTGCAGACGACACTTGCGCCTGGTACAAGCCCACCTCAATCCTGCCCGTCGTTGCGTAAATGATATCGTACCACGTGATAGCCATGTATTTGGGGCTAACCCCTTTGTCTCGGAGGATCTCAGCAGCGCTGCATCTAGCCTGGCTAGCAGCTACACTAGCCAATGTCGCAGTTGTGTTCCCTTGCCCTCCTCCACCAGCACTCCAGTCTCCTCTTCGTCACCTTCACTGGCTGCGAACTATCGGCGGCGTATTGTTCGTCAACGCCCCGGAAGCCCAGCGCCACCGCCATGTCTGGCTCGTACGTAACGTCCGGCTTTAGGCCCGTGCATTCCAGTATGATGTGCTTCGCTGTCTCGTCTGCTCCCTGCGGGCACATGACGCACTTCACTTCCACGTCCATGTACCTCGCACGTAGCACTTTCGATTTCGGCTCGTGTTTGAAATAAGATTTAAAAATATATATATGGGTGTTTTCATCTGAACTCGCGCAGGCAAAAAAGGGTCGAATTTTTAATTTCGCTGAAAAAAAAATATATGTTATGGCGCCGTCTTTGAAAACGCAGTAGGCGTCAATCGCAAGTTCGTCGGATTTTTCGTTCTCGACTTACGAATTTTCAAAGAGGCCGCGGCGGAAAGCAGTGTTTTTCACATCGGTCGTGGGTCGGATATTTCGCCCGATTTCCCGCCGTGGATTTTCAGTCTACATTATATTAACTTTTGGCAAGCACTCTGTGAGAATATTTAAAACGCTCTAATACCAAGAAATAGTTTTAGGCGTTTTGCTTTTTTTCTATAAAAATGTCAAAAATGCCACCTCGGTCAATTGTTGATGAACTTTGACCATTAAATACTGGCGATGTACTTGGGTTACATCAATATTTTGTGTCTACGGAGAGCCCAAAACACGCTCTTTATGCATATTATAAAATGACTCAGCTGTATACAATATCCTTTGCGGGACGTTTATGTTAATGTTATGCGAAAAGCAAAAAGTACCAAATTTAAAATCGATTTTCTCAAAAAACCCATTTTTTAATTTTTGTTTTGTTTTTGTTAAAATGTTGATATGGTAGTTTTCTACTCGAAAATCAAGTCCAGAAAGTGTGTATTTCGTTTGTATGTTTTATATTTAAGCCTCAATATCGGAAAAAGCCGTCTTCGTTTTGCAAGACGGCTTTTTCCGACATAGCGACCCGTGCGTTTCAATGAATTGTGAAAACGTTTTCTTGAATTTTTGTCTGCGTTTGTAATCAATTATAAACGTATTTCGTGGTATTGAATAGTTATTTATG